CATTCTAATATGCAAAGATAAGAAAAGTAATCTCTTTTAAAAATGTCTTCCCATAAAAACATGTAATAAAAAATAAAACTCATAATATTATTTTCATCTTCTTATCCTAAATGATTGTAAGAGGAGAGCTGTGTGTCGTGACTAAAATCTCATGCCTCTTAATAAAATTTATTAGTTGGGGAAAACATACTACCAAATTCCTGATATTTTATCCTGAGCAAGAACCTATGGTAAGTTCTTATTTATTTATTATTTCGCTATTAGTTTAACAAATATACAGCCTATGTTATGTTCAAAATAGTAACATAAAATGTTAACATGGTTAACAATGAGATATTTGAAAAAACAACAAGGTAATTGATTAACACAGTAAAAAATAGGAAAGAATTAACTGAGTTTGGCTGATTCTGGAAAACTAAGCAAGGTAAGTGCAGAGTAGGAGATTATCAAGAAATACCTTGGGAATAGGCTCAAGAAGGGAGTGACAACAACAACAACAATAACAACAACAATAATAAAGTTGGAGGGTACCTTGGAGGTCATCTAGTCCAACCCCCTGCTCAAGCATGAAACCCTATATCATTTCAGACAAATGGCTGTCCAGTCTCTTCTTAAAAAATTCCAGTGTTGGAGCATTCACAGCTTCTGGAGACAGGTTGTTCCACTGATTAATTGTTCTAACTGTCAGGAAATTTCTCCTTAGTTCTAAGTTACTTCTCTCTTTGGTTAGTTTCCATCCGTGGCTTCTTGTCCTGCCTTCAGGTGCTTTGGAAAATAGCTTGACTCCCTCTTCTTTGTGGCAACCCATGAGATATTGGAACACTGCTATCATGTCACCTCTAATCCTTCTGTTCATTAAATTAGACATACCCAATTCCAGCAAACCATTCCTTATATGTTTTAGCCTCCAGTCTCCTGATCATCTTTGTTGCTCTTCTCTGTACTCTTTCTAGAGTCTCAATATCTTTTTACACCGTGGTGACCAAAATTGGATGCAGTATTCCAAGTGTGGCCTTACCAAGGCATTGCAAAGTGATATTAGCACTTCACATGTTCTTGATTCTATCCCTCTGTTAATGCAGTCTAGCACTGTGTTGGCTTTTTTGGCAGCTGCAGCACACTGCTGGCTCATATTTACAATGTCAGACCTTTCTGGAAGAAGGAAACACTGTAGCATATTGCATCCATATTCTTTTCAAGAAAATCATATGCCCATCTCATGAATCCTCAGGAATTGAAATTAACTTGAAGGAGATTTTGCTTTTAAAAAGCAAAGAGTGATACAGCAACAAAACAGGAAAGATATCAACAATCAGCATGAAAATCCTCTTAAAGTAGCTTATTCGTAGAAAATTACTTGTCTAAGCAGTTTAATTTTATAACTGAACTTATTTTTTTTCTTAAATTCTGAAAGGGCAATTATGTATTAATCTCTCATAATAAATGTGGTGCAGTGTAGAGCCAGCAATCAACCCTCCCGAAATAGATAATGGGAAGTGTATAGTTCTGATCTCAGCATCAAGTATAGAGAGAGAGGGAGGGAGGGAGGGAAGGGGGAGAGAGAGAGAGAGAGAGAGAGAGAGAGAGAGAGAGAGAGAGAGAGAGAGAGAGAGAGAGAGAGAGATATTTTCTCATGTCCAATTCCTTTCTGAAGGAATTTATTGTAAAGGGAATGCTGGCCCTCTAGTGTTTAAAAGATTAAAGATCCTTACAAAACAGCTAAAATCTATAAATCTGGAAGTACAATATATCAATACATGACTCTTGAATATTGCTATCATTTTTAATCCCTAGTCCCTCAAATGGAGTTTGAAGATGAACTCCACCATTACAGTCTCAGAAACCATGAGAAATCTCAGAAATTCCTGCCCATGGAGTTTGCAGGAACACAACAATAATACACCATCTTTTCCACTCCACTCAAGGCCAAGGAAAAGCAAAAAATAAATAACTTACAGATATCTCCTACAGTTTCATTCGTCTGGCAGTCTGCAAATCAATCAATCAATTAATCAAATAAAATTCTTATAATTCCTATGAGGAAGGAGCTGCAAGACCACCAAGCTATCAAGCCATCTTTCTCTTTGAAAGCCCCATTAGTACAGGTTCAGTCTAGGATAAGGGAAGAATGGGTTGAGGCAAGAATATATGTAAAGAACCCATCCATAAGCTTTATGGAGTTGAAATATCACAAATAGTTCAGTTAGCTCAGCTGTAATTTCAAGTATGCCAAAGCTCAGTCAGAAATAAAGTGGAAATTTGGCATTATGGGGGAGGAAACCCTAATTAGAGGAGATCCAAGGGAGTTTATGGAGATACCCATAGCATCAAACTGACTCTCAGATATGAACATCCTTCACTACATCGACTTCATGTTAGAAAGTGCAAACTAGTTTTTATTGATGTAGGTGATGGGCAATGGTATGAAATCTTGTGATATTTGGTATAATGATGAACTTTCAAGTAATGGCTTGGATGGTGCCATCACTGACTGAGTTAATCAACTGTATTAAGTGAAAATATGGCTTTTTCTAAACCCTGTGGTTTATTAAATATGGCATAGCAGAACAGAAAAGAATAACAGAATAACAAAGTTGGAAGGGACGTTGAGGGTCTTCTAGTCCAACCCCCTGCTCAGGCAGAAGCTTCTATACCATTCCAGATAAGTGGCCATCCAGTCTCTTAAAAGCCTCCAGTGATGGAGCACCAACAACTTCTGAAGGGAAGTCATTCCACTGATTAATTGTTCTGTTAGGAAATTTCTCCTTAGTTCTAGATTGCTTTTCTCCTTGATTACTTTCCATCCATTGTTTCTTGTCTTTGGAAACTAAGTTGACCACCCTCTTCTTTGTGGCAGCACCTCAGATACTGGAACACTGCTATCATATCTCCCCAAGTCCTTCTTTTCACTAGACTAGGCAAAGCAAATTTGTTTTAGCCTCCAACCCCTAATCATCTTTGTTGCTCTTTTCTGAACTCTTTCCAGTCTCTATATCTTTTTTATAACATGGTGTCCAAAACTGGATGCAGTATTCTAAGTATGGTCTTCCTAAGACTTTATAAAGCAGTACTAATAATTCATATGATCTTGATTCTATCCCTCTGTTAATACAACCTAGGATTGATTGCATTGGCTTTTTTGGCTGTTGCCATACTCTGCTGGCTCACATTTAAGTAATTGTCCAGTAGACTCCAAGATCCCTCTCTCACTGTTACTGCTATTGAGTCAGGTTTCACCTAATCTGTAGCTGAACATTTGATTTTTCTTGCCTAAGTGTAAAACCTTTTTTTTTTCTCTACATTGAATTTCATTTTGTTAGACAGGGCCCAGTGTTCAAATCTGTCAAGATCCATCTGGATCTTGAGTCTCTCTTCTGGAGTGTTAGCACAGGATATAAAGCCAGGCAATTGTGGCTGTTCATTCAGTAGATCCTGCTGAAGGAATCAAGACTAGCATAAAGTATCAACTCACCCACAGAATACTCCCTGTATGTATGGAAGCTCATCTACAACATGTTACTACAGCCTTAGAAATGTTACTGGGGTTGAGGGGGGGATTGTTTTCAAATACAAAACTTGGTAATGCATCATCCTCCCTTAAAAGTCAGGAAAGTTCTTCAGATTAAGAAAAAGACTGACTGAATTCCAGCTAGCAGTATTTTGCTGGGAAAGAATTAAACATATTTCCTGCCAGTTATATATTGATGCTTAAGCCAAGGAATTACACCAAAGGGTTTCTTAATAGTTTATTAGTACTTCTAAAACTCCATGAGAAACCAATATCTGGCTGAATGTAAATGGCAGATCAGCATGATTATTCTGGCCTAGAAGCACGAATGATGCTCGGGGAAGAATTAAAAGACACAGCATGTCCAGCTGCCAACTTAGGAGCCAGTCGGGCAGGCAGGGATTTCCAGAGCACTGTAGTGATGTCTGGCAGATGGCAAATGCAGCTTTGTCCACAAAGGTGCTGTCTAATTTCTCCCTTTTTGCTTCTCAACCTGCTGTACTTTAGAATAGTCTCCTCTGCACTGTGGCAGATGGGGCCAGATGGTTTGCAGTGCAGAGTATAAAACTGGCCGTAACAGTTGATTTTCTTCCTTGTATTCTTCAGCTGATGCAAAACCCAGGTCTTCTTTAAGAAACAGGGATTGAAAAGTCTAGCAATGAAAACATAAGCAACAGAACTATACTATGTCTCCAGACCCCTTATCATATACTGTTTGCCTGATTCTTAGATCATTATTGATTATATTCTTAGGTTCTTGGTTAGGCATAGCTCATATGTCCCTGTTTGAAATTTGGTGCTGCTACAATGAGGTAATGGCAACCAACTGGTACCAGATGAAGATACTCTGGAAATGTTTAGGAGGAGGCTAATAAAGAGGTGAGAACTCAAAAAAGATGGGAGGATGGCTCAGAGCAAGGTGAAATGATAGCCCACAAGAACATTTGCAGTTTTTCTTATCATTGTAAAGCTGGAATAGTAAATACTGTAACATACTTTTACATTTCTACTGCTTGATTCAGCTCACATACTGTACAAGGTTTTGAGAGACTATACATAGTTACATATAAAGAAACAAAACCAACTGGGCTGCACATGGGTCAAATCACTTGGAATAAAACCACAAGTTCCAATCTATAGGACTTTTAGTAGAAAACCTTATGGAATCAAATTATATAAAGATTCTGCCTTGAACTAAGTGAATATTCACAACTTTTCCTGTAACAGAAACCTAATAGATTTGTTTTAGTGTTTGCTAGTTTTTTTCTTACACTTTTCAAAATTAAATAAATTCCAATTATTTCTACATAGAACATATAATAATAGGATTGGAAGGGACCTTGGAGGTCTTCTAGTCCAACTTCCTACTCAGGCGTCAAATCCTGAGAAATGGCTGTCCAGTCTCTTCTTGAAAATCTCCAGTGATGGAGTACCAACTTCCGGAAGTAAGCAGTTCCACTGATTAATTGTTCTTATTGTCAGGAAATTTCTTAGTTCTAAGTTGGATCTTTCTTTAATGATCTTCCATCTGTTTCTAACTGTCCTGCCCTCAGTTACTCTGGAGAATAGGCTGACCTCCTCTTCTCTGTTACTCTTCAAGTACTGGAGGACTGCTATCATATCACCCCTAATCCTTCTCTTTGCTGGACCAGATATACCTAGTTCCCTCAATCATTCATCCTATGGTTTACAGTAGCCTCCAGAACCTTTATCATCTTTGTTGGTTTTTTTTGCATTCTTTCTAGAATCTCAACATCTGTTTTGTATCATGGTGACCAGAACTGAAGGAAGTATTTGAAGTGTGGTCTCACCAGTCCAGTATAAAATGGTATTATCTCTTTATGTGATCTTGAAATTGTTCCCCTCTTAGTGCAATCTAAAATCTACTCTTTATCTTTTAAGCTATTCTGAACTACTACAGTTATCTGGTTGAGAAGTATCCAAAATGTTTAAAGTAAATATAGATATTGCATCAAATAATGTATCAAAACCACTGAGAATGAAATTCTAAGCAGCCAACCGCTGAAAGCAACTGCCTTTTATTGACATTATATGTCAAAGGATATTTGCCAGAGGTTTAAAAAGAATATTTGTTGTAATAACTAGGAAAGTTTCTGTAATTTAGCATAGTATATTTTATAAATTTCCAGTTTTTTATTTTTTATTTCTAAAAAATATTAAGTTAAAGTAGACATAAAAGAAAAGACAAATAACTATCCTTGACAATAGTAGGAATGATATTTTCTTAAGGTTTTTGATGCAATCTAGTTTAAACAACAAAATGCACAGGTTTAGTAACATTATAGGAAGTTTCAATGTAAATGTTAAATCTAAACAGCAAAATGTTCACACAGACAACTACATAAAGACAATAATCTGTGACCAAGAATAATCAAATGCAATACAAGTCTGTGGATACATATCTTGGTTAAAATAAAACCTGCATTAAGAACAAAACCGTGCATCAACCTAACACAAGATTGTTAGTTTTGCTGGGACTTTTATGTCCATAAGGCTCTTGGAGAACATGGACAATATACAATTTTAGGGTTTTTTTTTTTAAGGTGAAATCTTATGTTTCTGGTGATTTCAAGCTCAACTCATCATAGTAGTGCAACATATTTTCCATAGGAAATGATGGTAGTGGCAAATATCTCGCCCCAAAGATGCCACAGTTGGGAAGCAGATACAAAATCCTGCAAACTCTATTGTCTAGGTGTAGGCATCAGAATCCTGTTTCTTCCTCCCCAAACATTTAGAAATAGTAACATGGCTGTTGTTTGGTCATACTACATATGACATTCATCTATGGATTGGAAACAAACATTCAAAATGCTCAGAATGCTTGTTTATAGCTCAAAAAAAATTCCAAAATGCTCAGAACAGATTGTTTCATATTTGAAACAGCAATTTTACACTCAGAACAGGACATTTTGTGAAATTTTATACATGAAAGCTTTAAATATAAAATATTTTGCACACCATTAAAATACAACGCAGACATACAAAAGAAGGTCAAATTTTCTGGAGGAACCATTAATTGATCTCATATACTGATCAGTTATGATACCTGCCAAACTTTATCCTTCATAGGCTAATTGAAGAAAATCTTCCATTTTGTATTTAAAAACCACCTGGTTCAAGTTTTGAACGAGTGATTGTGATGAAGGTAAAAGCACTTCAGAGGTAGTAAAGACACACTCTTCATTACTCTGGCCAATACGAAACTAAAATTAGGAAGATAGTCTGTTTGTCCTTACTCTTGAGATGAGAGATAATGATCACTGTCAGTAGGTGGATTATCACTTCTATAACCTATAATTGAGTAATTGTAGCACAGCAGTGGTTAGAGCCAAGTTTCTCTCCAGCCTTCATAATCTTTAATTTTCCCCAATCCTCATGTGTCTGACTCATTTTTCTATGATGCTTAAATGCATAATGAAGGTTCATAATTGTGGGCTCCTAAATGCTCATTTGCTGCCATTCATTAAATATCTGGAATTAGAATCTTTATAAATAGAATCTTAGAATTGTCAACTATTCTTTTCTTAATGCATTATTTCATACTTACCTTAATAGTGATTGATATCAAAGTATTGTTTTTTAAAAAAGATATTTCAAGCATGACTAGAAAATAGATTACTTTCATGAGCATACTTTAGCTGTTAATCTCATCTAATACTTAATGACTAAGTATATAATGTATACTTATATATAATGATATAATGACTTTTAAATAGTGAGTTAGAAATAATTTCTGCTAAAAACATGTTCATTTCTAACAAGGATAATGAAGCACAAAATCAGATTTCCATGAGTAGGATGTTTTTCTAGGCTTGCCATGAGTCTTATTCCCAATATCGTACGAACCTATATGTATGTATGTATGTATGTATGTATGTATGTACATATGTAGGTATGTATGTACAGAATGTAATTAAGTAGTTACATCTACACTGGTTATTTTTCTGTTTCATTTCTAATAGATGATAGTTATTAACAGAGATGAAAAAGCAGGGAACTAATTAAACAGGTGCACTGATAAGATATCAGTGTACTTCAAATAAGCATATTATAAAAATTAACAATGAAACCCTATTTTTTAAATTAACCACATTGTGCTTGCATATTAAAATATATTGTAAAAATGGAAAATAAGTAACTACCTCATTCTGAATTAATTCCCACAGATCATTAAACAACACTAATATTGATGGGTAGAATATGGTAGAAAAGAAAAAAAACAACAACATTGTTGCTGTTTTGTTTAAATAATTATTTAGGGCAAAGGAAGTCTGACAATTTCAGAGAAAATACTGACACACTACCTCTGGTATGTAAACTTTGACACAAATCAAATACATGAAATATTGTTTGAGAATTAGTATGTCCTTCAAATGTACAAAAAGAACTTGCATTTGTCCAATGGGAACTTTCAATGATCAAGTGAAGTAGATAGTCAAGGGTACCTATGAATTAATCTAGGAATAGTATTTATCTCAATAAGAGAAGCACAACCTGAGGTCAGTGTATTGCATGGTGTCCTCAGAAACTTTCCCCAAATTGCTACCAAAACTGCAATATTTAACTTGAAAGAAGGGAAAATTATAAAATACATACAAGGTAATCCTATTAACCATATGTAATAGGAATTAATTTAACTAAAATAAATATAATCAGATTAAAAGTATCTTAGTTTTTGTCTTGGCTTATGTTTTTGCAATTACAGCCCAACCCAACCATTCAACATGAGTCTTAGCTTGAAAGAAGTCATCTACTCTGACCTAAATAAAAATATTCAAGTGATGTGAAACATTAGCAGCATGTCCATATCAATATTCTCCTTGGGGTGCTTTTACTTCCACAACAATTGTGTCTCAGTGTCTCTAAATAAAAATGTTGTGTCCTCATAACTTACCCATACTATTAAAATAGAATATCAACCTGGTACACATCATGACATGTCATATTTTACTATTAGTCCTTTGTTGTTGTTTCCCAAATTTTAACAAGCAACAATATACTTTCAGAGAAACCTGAAATTTCAAATATTGGCTGAGCAGCAATATTGAAAGTCTGCTGAAAAGTAGGAAGCCTAGCCTGAGAGCCTGAAGCGTTTCTCATGATTTATGGGAACAAGTCCAAAGGTCCTCTACTTCTTCTGGACATTTGTGTTGCTCATTATGTTAACAATCCTGGATGTTCAAAATAAACATTAAATAATAAATCTTGCCAAGTTGAAGGACAATGAGTTCCAAGGCTTATCTTGATATAAACAGTCAATTAGAACTGTTATTAAAAAGCAGCAATGTCCAGAGTTGCCATTCCTCCACAGGTGTGTTGCATAAGTGTGTCTTTGAGAGGAATCTTTTCCCAATCAGATCTCAAGCAGGTCTTCTCCACTCTCGTCACTCTCTACAGTAAGTTGCCTTGTCCACCACTTCTTAACTTCTGATCCACATGAAGCCATGTCTGACATAGGATTCATTTTGCACACAACAGATTTCATAGTTGTCCGACCACCAATTCTTATATTGACTGAAGACACTGAATGGCTTATTGGTTTTGGGGCTAGGAAATTAAAGAGAAAAATATTCACTGCAAACAAATCATCATCATGCTAAGCAATTCTAGTATGATGAAAAGTGGATTTGTGGCAAAATATTTGCCACCTCTGAAGCCTAATGAATTTTTTTTTTAAAAAAAAATAATTATCCAATAACACCAACAAGAGGAAACACAATGTTAACTCCATGGATTATTTTCTTTGGTGAGAGAAATTAGCAGCTTTTGATCCCATGAACTTAAGGCTTCCATTATGTATCCCTTGTTACCATGCTTTCTCCTCTATTGAGGGCAAAACATTTCTAGAGACAAATCTACACAGAGGAGATCTCCAAGGATGTAATTCTATCTCTCTGAACTACTCTGTACTGATAGGTACTATATCTTGCCAGCTGCTGGAAGTAAGCTGATAAGCTATAGAACTGCATTGTATTTTCACATTTGTTTTCTACAATGAAACCCTTTTTATATATAACTGAAAGTTTTCATATATAAAACAAAATTATTAACAATTGGAAACAAAATTTGAATAAGCCCATGTCCAGCCTATTTAGTGCAGTAGTGATTAGAGTATTGAACCAGGACTGGGAAGATTGAATTCAAGTCCTACTTGGCTAAATTAAAATTCAAGTCCTACTTGGTACTTACTTTCTCTCAGACTGTTATTTCACACTGCTTTACTTGGAGAAAAAAAACTACCAGAGAAAGCTGAGCATCTACAGGACACAATGTAAGAGTAGTACAGGAACTCCTCAGTAATGATGGCAGTTGGGACTGGAATTTCCATTGCTAAGCAACATGGTCATAAAGCAGTGGTTCTCAAGCTTTTTCATGCCGCAACCCCCAACCGGTCGTAAGTCGAGGACTACTCAACCAGTCGTAAGTCGAGGACTACTCAATTGGTGCAGCACCGTTTGCAGAATGGGACTTTTGGCGGGCTCAGCAGGGCAGAGACAGCCTGGACAATTCCTATTGGCTTTTGAAAGCCAATAGAATTAGACTCTATTCAAGAGAGTCTTTCAAAAGCCAATAGAATAAAAGGGAGTGGCACAGCTAAGGAAAAGGGGAAAAAATGGTGGACTGCGTTGTTTGGCGACCCCCGTGAAATGGTCGTTCGACCCCAAATGAGGTCCCGACCCACAGGTTGAGAACCACTGTCATAAAGCATGACATCATGTGACCATGCTGCTTAGCGATGGCAGTTCTGCTGTTGTTAAGTGATTCTTGCACTGTCATTAATTGCAATGTCTTGACCTCATTTGTGAACTCCTGTCAGCTCACTCACAGACTTTGGTTGTGGAAAGCCACCAGTGAAAATCACAAATGGCAATCACATGACCATGGGATGATGTGATCTTGTAATTATGAGACAGTTGCTGAGTGCCTGGATTATGATCATGAGATAGTGAAGAACTATGACACTGCAATTACAAGTTGTAAGTACCACTAGTTCAATGCGGTTGTAAGTTTGGTTTTAATGGTTGCTGAACATCATTAAACGAGGACTACACTTATTGGTAACAAAAATGAGAATGCTTACAATGTGGACTTTTGCCAATGTATATTATAAATATATACTAAAAAAACTTATATACAAATGGCATACTATAAGTTGATTTTTCTTCAACCATTCCACGTTTGAAGTTCTGCTCCCTTTAACTGTGAGTCTATTGAATATTTCTTTATGCATTTAAATCAGTACATAAAAACATAAGCAGTGCCTTACTGGATCAGACTCTGGCCCATCAAGTCCAGCAATCTATAAAAACAGTTGGCCAGCCTACCTCAGAAGGACGTCAATTTGTCTCCCAGCAGATAGCTTTCAGAAGCAGTCATCTTGCCATCAAGGCTAATAGCCATTGATCCCCATGACTTCTATGAATTTGTCCAACTCTTTTTTGAAACCAATTAAGCTGGTACCCAACACTGCATCTTATGGTAGCCATGGATCTTCAAGATAAGCCTTTTATGATGTTAACTCTCTGAATCTACAAACCCTAGTTGTTTATAGCCCCAAGATCTTAACTCATTGTTGCATTCACTATTGCCATTGTTCATGTTATTGCTTGTTTTTCTGTTTAAGAGTAACAATTATTTATTGTAATCATTATTTGAGTATTGAACAGTTTGAGTGGCAGACATTATTCTGCCATAATCCCAGTTCAACAGAACATTCCTTCTATTCTGTATTTAAAATGTACAGTATTTATTGAACAATAGATTTCTTTCCAAGCACTTAGAGCTAGGATTTTCCTCTTTCCTTCTGGTGTCACCAAAGGCCAAACTGAATAAAATTCTGGATTCTACACAAATGCTATGAATGTAAGAACTGCCGTCCTGAGCTGTAGCTTTGCTAGGTTACCTGGGATACTGCATCTCCCACAAAGGGGTAGAGATGGACCCAGAGAAGGTACAAGCTGTGCTCGAAGCCCCCTGTATCAGAAGGAGCTGCAAAGCTTCCTTGGTTTCACTAACTTCTACTGGCAGTTCATTCTGGCGTTTGCACAGATCAAGCTGCCAATCACCAATCTTCTCAAAGCCAAAGGAGAGGGAAATATCCAGGCTGGGGCAACCACTCAAATGGTCCAGCAACTGTTTGTGGCTGAGCCAGTCCTTAAACACCCCAATCCCGACGAACTGTTTGTCATCCAAGCAGATGCCAGTGATGTCACTGTGCGTGCCATCCTCCTCCAAAAGATCAAACAAGGACTCCTACAACCATGTGCCTATACCTCCGAGAAACTCTCTAACACAGAGTGCAGGTGGACAATATGGGAAAAGGAAGCCTACACAGTACAATGGATGTTACTTACCTGGAGACAGGTAAGGAAATAAGGCTCCTTTCGAGGTCTGGACAGATCACAAGAATCTGGAAGCACTGAAGACTCCCTGAAAATTGTCTTCTAAACTAGTGAGGTGGGTGCAATACTTCAGTCAGTTCAATTTCATTCTGTATTACTTGCCGGGAGGAAATAATTTCATGGCAGATGTACTCTCAAGGCTATGCCAGTATAACAGTACAAGGGAGGAGACTGTAAACTCTATCATCCCTTCCAGTCAAACAACAGCTCCCACCATCACCAGGGCACAAAGCAAAGCTGAGAGCAAGGTAACCAACAATCTTGTTCAACCGCTAAGAGCGTCCCTTACCAGGGATGATTGGTTTGCATGCCACAAAGCTGACTTCATTCTACATGATGGCATTGCCTGGAGTGGGTCTAAACTCTATTTACCCACAAGCTAGAGGACTTTAGTTCTGCAGCATAGCCACACTTCCAAAATGGTTGGACACTTTGGATTTGTTAAAACTTTGGTGAGATGCCAATTCTGGTGGCCAAACATGAAATTGGAGTGTTGAACTGGGATGGGGAAGGTTGAATTCAAGGCCTATTTAGCTAAATTGAGCCACTTACTTTCTTTCAGGCCATTATACTTCACACTGCTATATTTGGAGAAAAGCTATGTTGCAAGTTGCCCTGTGTGTGCATTCATGAAGGGTCACCCCAGGAAACCACCAACTTCATTTACCGAAGGCATTTTGTATTTATTTTGTACTCTCAATACTCTGAAACTGCATCAGTTTGGGAATGTGCTTTATATCCCTTTTCACTTACCAGATGGCAAACGCCATTGTCCAAGCTTTCGCTGAGGTTTACCCCCCTCACCAGAATCTTGTCGATATCCACCTCTGTCAGAAAGCGTGGGGCTAAGCAGCTGCTGTTCATTACTTGTCTGAATAGAATGAGAGAGAAAAGGAATTAAAACCTGAAAACAACAAAAAGGACCTTTGATTTTTGGCCCTTGTTTCACAAATTTTGCAGTTGAAATTTTGTATAGATCATTCTGTTCAGCCCCGTGTATTTTCTTTTTGTTAATTCTTTTAAAAGCCATTTTCATTATCATTGGCAGATTTGAATGCAGATTTCTCAAATGTTATGTGTGTGCATATGTGTGTGTGTGTGTGTGTATCTGTTAATAATGTTTTCTATGCATGTTTTTTTGTATGTAATTTTTCCAATCCATTTTGACACATTTCACCCAGATACAAACATCCATATTTACACTCTAAATGTTGCTCTCTCATTTAGATACTAATAGAATCTGTTGTGATAGATCAAGCCATTTTATTCCCATTAATATCTGTGTTAAGTTTCTTTTACATCCCTGACTACAACTATTGACAATATTATTTATTGCCACATTTATTTCTAGAAACATTTTAGGAAAATGTATTCCAGAATGTTATGGGATTCAATGTGTTATTCCAAAATATAAAACACTGGTCACAGAAAAAATAAAGGTTGTTTATATCTGAGGGTTATAAAACTCCCCTGTGCATAAAATGGATCACAGAAATTATGTATTTTAGGCCTCATAAAATTGAACATAAAAATTATATTAAACATAAGAGAATGGAAAAGTAAAAGAAAGAAAAAGAAAAAAGAAAGAAAAGCAAGTTTCCATGAGCAGCAAACAGTATGTGTCCTTTACACACATTTTTGGGGGCAGGAATGAATGGAAAGGTCTTTTACTGAGGTGCTTTAGATCTGGTAGGTATTTACCAAATATGTCTCGTTCAGATGCAGTTGAATGTTTTCTCATATGCTGTGTACTAGGCCATTTTAGGGTGTGGCTTCAAGTCAATATTGATTCCTGGCAAGTTTCTGGACAAGTCCCTGCAGTTTTCTTGGCAATATTTTGGAAGTGAGAATGAGAGCTGAGAGAGAGTGACTGGGCCAAAATCATCCATCTGGCTTCATGTCTACAGTGGGCCTAGAACTCATGGCCTCCCAGATGCTAGACTGATGCCTTAATCGCTACACCAAACTGGCTTTTTGAGAACAACAGTAGGGATGAACCCATACCTCAGGCTGTGCACTGTTATCCTGGTTATTAGCATTCATATCTTCACTTGGCTGCGTTGTCTCAATGCTTGGTGGATTTAGGAAACGGCTTAACTCCTGCTGTTGACTCTCTCGGAGGCTGTGGATAATACTGCATGACTGCTGTTGTTTCTAGGAAAATAAGACACACATGATATATTTTGCTTTCTTTAAAAGTACTTTTCAAAAACCCTTGGCAAGCTTAAGAAATATAGAAGGGTAATTAATGGTGATGGTAGATGGATGGGATCAAAGAGTTATGGCTTATTATTGGTGACAGACTGAAATGATAAGCATTTCTCCACACAGTCACTAGGGTCTGAGCCTGACTTGATGGCATAAAATCAATCAAAGTACTTTTCAAAAATTAGGATTCTCTTTAAAATGATTTTTCCTATTGTATTATTTTTATAAGGTACACATACTTGATTTCTGTTTTCAACTGACTATCCCAAAAAGTTATTTAAAGCAAAATAATAAAAAAGATGTTTTCCAAATATCATCTAGAAACTATTGAAGTATATTACCTTCAATAATTTTTAAATTAGACAGTCTCTTCTTAAAAGCCTCCAGCAATGGGGCACTCACAACTCCTGAAGGCAATGTAGAAGTATATTTTTTTTCACATTCTAGGAATCCAAATTCATTTCAAGCTTTCATATATATATATAAAATGTAAAAAGTTTATACGGGCAAAATCAACTCTTGTGTACAAAGTGCTCTATAATCATCACCAATATTGTTATCTTCCATTTTTGTTGTTTTTCTAAATGTTTTCAATTGTGAGAAGAGAGAAGGAATTAGCAAGAAAAGATGGCAAGGCTCATGTCATGTTTTCACATGGCTTGCACTGAAGATTTCACAGAATCTTATTGGTTATTAAGGCAAGACTCCTGCAAAATGCAGGGTCGGGAGTAATAATAAGATTAATAAATATATCAATATTTATCTGAAATGTACATCTGTTTCCACTCACTTGTTCAAGTCCTATCTTCTGACTTTTAAAATAGCATTTAAAAGTGTATTAATAACACAATAATGTTAAACTTACTGCTCTAATGCGCTTCAAGCATTTTTTCAACCACATGCGTATTGTCTGCTTGGCAACTTCTTCCTCGATGGTGTACTCTAGTTGTTCCCTAGCAAGGAGTTCTTCCAGCTGAAGACTTTTTCTGATGTCAACCGATCTATATGACAGCATGCTAGAAGAAACATATATTAGTAAATATACATTTTTTAAAAATGAAAATGACTCTATGTCAAAACCATATAGTTTCTTTGGAATGTTTATTTGGCTTGTAAAATGATGCTTAATGTCTCTGTATCCATGGATAATTACATAGTGAGTGTGTTGAAGTAATTATACATTACAAGGAAACTTGTGATCAGAGCAGTTGGTTGATTAGGTTGGTGAAGATCCAGTTAAGATAACTGCTTCTATGACTGTGTCAAAGTAATGATTTAAAAGCTAACCAGCTGACATAATGTGAGATGTATGATGTAATGATGGGAATGACTCAGCAGGGTCAATGTCCCTTTAAGAGCCAGCTGGGTCTGTGTCCCTTTAAGAGCTTTGTATAAAAGGGAAGGCTCAGCAGATGCGTGCTCTCTCTTCCATTTCTTGCTGTAACTGCTTTGTGTTGGAGCCTGTTATATTAACATGTGTATGTATATTGTAGGTGGTGTAAGATAAACCACCATTTATATAAACCACTGTTTACTGTATTTACTCCTGGGTTATCTCAGCGCAATAAGACTGTGCATGCTCTGACACTGTTTATAGCTCTAACCATATGCACTAACAAAAACTTTGTTTCTGTTAAAGTTTTCATTCTTACCTCGATTCATAATATGAAAGTTGCACTTTTTTCAGTACACGATTAAATACAGTAATGAGAAAAAGCAATTAAAATATGTGTTTTATTAATAAATAAATTTAATAGATCCCTAAATGAAAAAAGGTTTTATAAACTGTATTTGTATCTTTAGCCTGATAAGATGCAATGAAACCCTAACTGATGTAGCCCTATCTCCTTGGTTAAGCTTCCCTGAACTGCAGCTTGTGAGATAATTCTGAGATACAGGTTTGCAGCCCAGCTGTGTTGCTCAATATACCTTAATACATCATGGAATGTTACATCTCCACCATTATGCAATCTCTCCATTTCATAGCACATATGCTTGAACAGAAGTTTGTCCTTATCCAGATCTACCTCAAGTCTTCCACGCAATAGCCTCAACAAAAACTTGACTCGGAAAGTAGGAATTGCTCCCTGGAAAGAAAGTCACAATTAGAAAATACTCACACCTGTAAAGAGCTTTATATTTGTCTTTTATTATTCTTCAAATAAATGATTTAGTAACATTGACATTTTTTGCCAGTCTTTTGCTATTATAATTACAATGAGGTGCCTGAGCAAGAAGGAGGCTGAGGTGAGTTGCTCCAGCAGCAATTCAGGGGCTGAAATAGGTGCCAATCTGAGTTCTGCAGCTGTCATAGAGCCTGTCACTCTGGGGAATTCTCTCCCTAAGGTAAAAGGTATCTGGTTTCCTGGATGAGAGATAGAAAGGGCAGGAGTGACATTTAGAATGGCTCAGTCTGTAGATGTGAGTTAGGGTGCTGTTTATGTTAGTGCAGGAGTGGAACAGGAGGTATATGTGCTGGGGTAGGGTAGTGGCAGCTGGCTGTCTAAAATTAAGCAGTGTGGTATTGCAGAAGAGACTTGAAAGAGCCAGTTCAGCCAGCTGGTTGAAAATTTATATTGTGACCTGGCTGTCAGATGGAGCTCTCTAAGCCGGGATAGTGATGAGCCAGGGAAAATTGGACTGTTGTAGGAGAGGTGGAAGGGCCAGGCAGTAACATCATGTTGGTGATAGCAGCGGGAGATAAGGTGAGAGAGATGGGTCGTTCTCAAAGAAGACTGCCTTGATGTGTCATATTGTGTTATAGTTCATATTATAGACCTGGATGGGAGGGCCAACCTGGCATGAAACTGGATGGGGAAGCAACAAAAGTTGACACAGACTTTTTCCAAGGATTTAACATTCCATTTTTACTTTAATTAATTGCTACATTTTTAGCAATTGATTAGCAGAGCAGTAAGTCAATGAAACTTATAGTATTTAAAAGAGAAATTTCTTACCTCCCTTTTGTCATCAACCATATTCCATATAATCTGAAAATGTCTAAGATCATTATAACTTAAGAGCTGGTCTTCTTCAGTGGAATAAAATAAAGAGAAGTTTTCCACAATTATAGCTGTATAAGATAGAAACATAAAAAAGTAAGGGATTCCCAAGTTATAAGCATTTATAATTGAAAATAATTTAAATTTGTAAAATCATAAAAGGATTTTGTCATGTGTAGGAGAAGGGGAGGCAGAGCCTGGTGGCAGAATCAAGAGAGAAATCAGGCTGGAATCATTATGTTCCACAAGGAATCTAAATCCAGCCCCTCTTGAATTCCATTGACTTTTATCTACACCAATTTAGTGCTGACCTTAGTTGACTAGATTCTTGTGTATAGGCATGAGCAATAAATCAGTGGAACTGATTCTTCGAGTCTGACAACTGATGTATAAATTTTAATATCATAATAGACACCCACATTAAAAAAACACAATTTTCTGCTGTCTTCATTAGAAACTGAATAAGCTATAAAGCAGCCTGGAACCATAATATGCTTATTTTTTCAATTCTGCATATGTTTAAATAAAGGAAATCACAAACCTTGTTCATAACAAAGGCAGCAAAAAAAATAATTCTGCAACATTTTGAAAAATCTGACGTTCATTAAAGCAAACATAGATAATTGTTTTTCCCCCTGCCTGGTCATATGTTCTCAAAACTAATCTGCTCACCATGGAATATGAATGGGATTGAAGCAAGCAGTCAATAAAATTGGAGCTAAAAACTAAGAACACTAATTTCTCTCTGATAACTGTCTTTCTGATCCACACTTAAACCATAAACATGCTTCCAACAGATAAAACTCTTCAAAAGAACTTCGAGGCATTGTTTACCTTAAACGATCTTTTATTCGAGTAGCATAATATCAGCACTACATAATCAAAGCCAAAAATTGAATTTCCCTCCCCTGGGCACATAGTATCAAAGCACAATTCCCTCCTCCAATTAACAGTCATAAATCACATTCCCCAATTAGCTTGAAGCGCTGGCTTCCTCTCCAGCTCTCCAGCCGGCCAATTCTTTATCAGCTCTGGGCTAAATAACCTTGATTCTCACTCTAAGTTTAGTGTTGTTATGTCTAGCTGGACTCTCATTCACATCCCTCCCTTCTAGCATCATCTAACTCTAAAAGCGAAAGGGAAAAGATAGCTACATTTCCATCTGTTGTCAATGCAAAAACATCCGATGTTAGCAGTGTTGACACAGGTTTTTTTTTTTTTTTTTGAGAAATCTGAACCAAACTTCTACATAGGATATTTGAGACTAGGTGGATGGCTACATGGAAAGCTCAAAGACCATATATAGTCTGAGGTTGTTCATGTTGCTTTAAACATTCATGTGAATATTTTAGACAATGTATGGTAAGAGCCAGAAGTGAGATTCTGTTTCACTTGCTTCTTAGGTGAGGAAAGCAGTTCTGTGGTAGCATTTTCCATGTGTGTTTCCTGAGACTCTTCAGATCAGACACTGAATCTCAGATATAGAACTCATTTTTGTTTTGAAGACTTCTGAAACTCTGGCAAGCCTTATGGGATGTTTACTAATTTTATTTTGGATGGCATAATTGATTGCACTTACTAAATCATGACTAATTGTTTTTATTTTATGGTTTGTAATCAGATTATTTAAATATTATTTCATTTTTTCACTAATAATTATGAGGGCTGTCAGGATTGAACAGTCAATTATAAATATATAAAATTAATGCATGTGGCGGTTTGATCATACATAGAGAAGAACCGGTTAAATCAGTAGTATTTGTTAATTCTGACTGACTGAAACACTGGAGTTAATGGCTATTTTTAAGTAAGACTAGGTCCTGATCAAATCCATAATAGAGTTAAAACACAGTGAAAACTTTATTGCTGTGTTTCATGACTAAAACTTACCCACAAGTAAATTCAGCATTATGTATGCAATGATGACATAAAATGAACAGAAATACATAAGAGCACCGGCATAATTCCCACAGTCTGTTTTCCAGTATGTTCTGTTATCTGGAGTACAAAAAGGAGGTTGAACCTGCATGAAACAAAAAGCTATATTACATGTAATAGGGGTACAAAAGTAGATATGGGTCTCTCTCTCTCTCTCTCTCTCTCTCTCTCTCTCTCTCTCTCACACACACACACACACACACACACAGTATTTTGAACTTCAGCAGAATGGATCAACTTCCTCCTTTCTCTGATGCTTTCCATTCCACATGTTGTTTTTTCCCCCAACCAAGCATTCTCTTAATATCAGAATCAAAAATATTGTGGGTGTGTTGGGTATTTATATGTGACAGTCACCATGAAATGTAGCAGCTCAATCGTTGTACTGCTTATACACCACAATCTCTTTTTTATTTATGCTAAAAGACTACACCATTTCCCCCTACAACCAAAGAGAAAAGTTCTTCTGAATTGACAAGAGAGGAAGATGGATCACATACAGTAATTCAAAATGCTGTTTCCAATAATGACCAAATATTTCTAGAGAATTACCAACTTCAATTATTTGGACTGCATATTTGCATTTATATTTTTAGTTCTATTCAGCTAACCTTCATAAATAGATATATCCTCCCTAAACAGATATTTTCTTTGGGTGCAGAATATAGACCTTTTTATACAACACCCATTTAAAATGTCTCCTAACTTAAGAGTCCATCACCACATCATGGCGATGGGATAATTTGGGGGGAGAGAAGGGAGAGTTCTTTCACAGTATTTCTCACTGACTGCTTCAAAGATCCGGCAAAAAAAGAACAATTTTTTATCATTGATAATACATTTCACATAACAGTATTGTTAATACATTCTCTAGAACTGAAAACCTGTCATCTTTGATTTTAATAAATACAACAAAACTGCATGGATCTAGTTGGGCATATAACACAAATATTTGCTAATAATTTTTGCCAAGTACTTATACGTTTATTTCTACAGCATTTTCAAGAGTCAATAAATCAAAGTCTGGGTGAAGGATCAGATTTTAAAAAATAAAATGTAAAGTATTTTTAAGATGCAAAGCTCCTGATGGCTAAAATGATACAGGATTTTAATCAGTCAATTTACCATGCAGTCATGCATTATCTTGTTCCAGTCTTCTCCAGTGACGATTCTGAAGAGTACAGTAATGGCCTTACCAGCTGATGAAAAGTTGGCATGCCTGTTTTTAACAAATAAAAATAATTATTCAATATTTCACAACTAAGAACATAACCAAACAATCCTTTAGGGTATTTGGATAATTCCCCCCTCCCTATCCAGGCTAACTTATACAAGTCTAGTCTGCTACGGTACCTGAGTTGAATGATAACATGGTATATTTCCCCCAATCTGCACAGAAAAGGACTGGTGTGGTATTTGAATGAGACTCTAGTTGGAAGTAAGGTAGTGTTTACGATATTTAGAGCAGCAGGATAGTTTAGATTGTTCAGAACTAGCTGTGTTATATACACCTTTCTGTCACCTGACAGCGTAACCAGCACTGCCCTGAAAATTGCTTGAATATGTCTCTTCATGGGGCTGTTTTGGATCTTAAGCTTGAACCCAGACTAGCTATTATTCATAACAGCTCCTGTTGTTTCCCTGCTTGCAGGTTCTGCAAATACTCAAGCAGTCATTGCAGAGTGGATTCATGTATACAGTATAAGCATTACTTTGATATTTGACGCTGGATTTTCTGAGACTGTCAGTCACAGATCAATAGGGCTGCTTTTCTGGTAAAATAACAATAAAGGCATCCATCAAAGCAAGGATGCTCTAAAACAAGATCACAGTTATCAAAATACTTTCAGATGAAGTGACAGAAATCATACCTGTTAATGTTCTCTCCATATTTCACAGTTCCAAACAAAACTACTCCAGCAAAAGCATAGCAAAGCAACAGTAGGAACATTCCTACAATGATGAAAAAGCTTTTGTACATGCTGACAACTACTGTCAGCAGCAGCATCTTCAGAGTCACCTGGAAAGCAGTGGGAAAGAAGGCTTGGTATAAGACATGGGTCAAAATGGAAATGTGCTGAAATTGAAGTGAACTGTTTCAACCTCATTGGGATTGTTCCAAGAACACTCTAATTTTGCTAGAACCTCTGTAACAATTCCAGGCATTGTTTCAAGCCAACAAAATTGATACAGATTCAGAACATTGTTTTGTAAATTTGGAACTGTTCATTTTAAACTGAAAACATTTTAATTCAACAAAATAATTATATAGTGAGGTGGTTAGAATTTGTGTTGGAATGTTATTGGTAAGGTTTCGTTAATTTATTGCTGTAGATGTTTAAAAGTTGTGCATTGAAATTTATTTTTAAGCTCTTACTATGGTATGCAAACATTCATACACTCATTCATACTATGGATGTTTTTTGTTGTAAGTTGTCATCTGTATGAAAACTAAACAATTTTGCATACTTCTAATTCTGATTGTGTCAGCTGTTCCCTTTTCACTGTTCTTTATTTCTAGGCTATAACAAAATATTGGTTTAAACCAGTAAGAGCCTCAATGCAGTAAAAAAAAACCACAGTCCAACTTATTCAATGTGTAATTAGTATAAGGATGGGGAAAAAATCCTCATGTGTACTTACGTGCTTTCCACAGATTGAAAAAAACCTGAACACAATAACGCATGCCCCCATCATATACGTATAGGCATTCTGAAACACAAAGTATCAATATTTGAAGAGTTACTCAGGACTGATTATTAAATGCAGCTCAGGATTGTACTTTTGCGATAACCAGTATAGCTTTAATACAATATATTGAATGACTGAGTGCATAGTTCTTGATGTAAAAAGACTCACTATTTCATTATTCAGGTGTTATTACATGGAAATAGATAGAAATAGCTATATATGCTGCATCCCATTAATTCTAGTTTAAACCATTTGTAGCTGCCTGAGTAAACTCAGTTATAATATTAATTGTAATTACAAAAAATACTGTCTTTTCAGGAATGATCATAACAAGGCAAGATCAAGCCTCAATGAATTATACATTTTTCAGATTTGCAAAAAGAGGAAAACTATCCTACATTCTTTGAATAGACAATGTGGTTCTTGAAACTTACAGTTATGGCAAAGTGGAGAATCACCCATATGACACCTAATGATGTCACCAAGAGATCATAACGATTTCTTCTGCTCTGCCAAAATCCAGCAGGTGACATGGCAATAATTTTCATTGTAACCTTGCAAAAATAAATGTGTATGTAAGAGCTTCTCTTTGTATAATCTTGAATGATTCCTCAAAGTTATGTTTTAATAATATTCAAATGGATAATTATTGAAAATTAATTTAACTATTGGATTAAAATATGTATGAGCAAAAACAAACCTGATATACAAGAAAATGTTACAACATATACATATTTTACTAGTGTTTGGTTATAATTATTAATGCAGAAAAAGAAACCTATTTTAATGTTTGATCGATCACTTTATATCTAATCACCATAATTTTTTTACATGAACACAAGAAATTGGCAAAGCCTCTCCTTTTGCTGTTCGTTATGATTTTAATTAACTTAATTCTATGGTGTTTTTGTCACCATCTAGTAACACGGACCAAAGCTGATACAGGAACAGTGATTAGATCTCCATATTTAGATATTTTAGATAAACTTTATGAGTAGGGTACTAATGCTTCTAAAATCCTACATTCAGATCCAAAAACCTAGACTTCATTTGCTTGTAAAAGCACCTCCTTTTTTCTTGGATTGTGTGTCATGAACAGCAGAATGGTTACAGCTTCAGACAGGCAGACCTGAAAATTATAGCTAATCTGTATACCTTTCAGATAGGTTTCAGATCAGGACATGGTATTGAGATGACATTGATGATGCTCGCAGATGACCTCTGGTGGAGCTGGGATGGGGGCAATGCATCTCCTTGATCTTAATGAATGTTGATACTATGGTCAATGACATCCTTTTGTACTGCTCACAGGGATTAGGAGTAGGAGATATGAAGGCGGTGGTTCCCCTTTCACTGTGATCAGGTCCAGGAACAACTTAAGTTCACCCTTGACAAGCTGAATGGTTATGCATATTTGGACAACCCAGTACAAAAATATTCCATTTTTATTTCTGAATGGGGTTGCACTTCTTTCGGAATTGGTGTGCAATTTGAAGACTACTTGGATTCACAACTCTTGAATAGGACCACTTTCATACAAATTCATCAAGTGTATCAATTGCACCAAAATGTCTTTAAAACAGTAACTTACCACTGCAATGCACTCTACATGGGACTGCCCTTGAAGACTATTTAGAAGCTGTAGCTGGCCCAGGATCAGAAGCATGGGCAGTTATGGGCATGCCATGGTATGGCCATATAACTTAACGTGTCTGCTAAGAATGTTACTAGTAGGCACTGGTTAACCAACAGGATTCCAGATATAATTCAGGATACTAATGATCACTTATAGAACTTTTCATGAGTTATCTGAGGGACTGCTTGTCTTCACTCCTGTGTGGTCTGGCAAAGTGGACAGTGCCATTTGATGGGATCAAGAAAGTGAGCCTTCCCTATTATAGTGCCTATCCTCTGGAATGATATTCCCTCAGAGATTCATAGTATAAAATCATCACTCTTACCTTATTTAAGACAGCCCTTAAAACCTGGCTTTTCCCTGGCCTTGAGTTAGAATAGAGGTGGACTCCTTATGAGGACAACTGGCTTAATAAAATCAGTGTTATGCTTCTAGACATCTGTTTTTTTATACATTTTGCATTGTGTTGTTTTAAATTTATATTATATGCCACCTGGAGTCATAATGGACTCAAGTGAGTTATAGATGTAATTAATAAATAGTATCTATATTATCTTCTAATATTGTAATGTACAATAAATGACACAAGGCAAAACTAATCTGAACTTATTTATAGAAATATTGAAATATATTACCTCTAGAACAAATATGAAGGTGAAGACCACTGACATTGCAGCTAATGGACCAGTTACTGGATCTTGATCATCCCACTTATGCAAAAGAAAAAAAATAGTTTATGAAAAAATATCTCATTTTCTTTTCTGTTTAAAATTCTACCACAATTGTTCCTGTTTATTAAAAATACAGCGATTTTCTCCTATTTATGTTCATTTGTAAGTAGTTAATAAAGCACCTTAAAAGTACCTTAACAGATAATAGCACAGATTGGGCCAATACAAGAACTGCAATGGTTCTCTTGAAAAATGGGTGCTGGGTTATGTCATACATTTTAGCTCGGAATCCATCATTATCTGAAAAAACAAAAACAAAATAAAAGCAAAAGTTTATATGGGGCACAATTTGCAATGACTTCTATGATTTTTTTGCCTCAGTGTAGCTGTTAGTTGTGGGCACATATTAGTCAACACAGTATAATATTGTCACTTTCACACGCGAGCAAAGTAGATAGATTTGAGCCCTACAAAGCTGGCTTCAGAAAAAGTTAAGGAACATGAGACATTATTTCTGATGAATGCTGGGTAATTAATAAAGCCAAAGAATACACACAAAAAAGAATTAATTGATCACAGAAAGCATTTGAATGTGTTGGCCATACCAAGATGTAGAATGTCCTTAGGAAAATAGAAAGAATAACTTTCTCCTCATGTAGAACTTACACATGTGACAGGATGTCACAATCCAGACAGAAAATGGCAAAACAGACCAGCTCCAGGATGACAGGAGTGAGATAAGGCTATATGATAGCCATAGTGGCACAGTGGTTAGAACAATGTATTGCAGGCTAACTCTGCTAACATTGCCAGGAGTTTGATTACTTTGATCCCGACCGGCTCAAGGTTGACTCAGCCTTCCATCCTTCCGAGATCGGTAAAATGAGAACCCAGATTGTTGGGGGCACTATGCTGACTCGGTAAACTGCTTAGAGAGGGCTGTAAAGCACTGTGAATAATCTAAGTGCTATTGCTATATACTCGCATATTTATTCAGTCTATATGCTGAGTATATATTGAAGCAGGCCTGAATGCAATGAGTGTAGTTTTAAAACTGAAGGAAACACTTCCATACCTTGAGCTGTACTGATGAAATTACTATGATACCTGAAAATGCAAAGGATCTACAAGTTCTAGTTATGAAAGTCAAGGAGCACAATGAAAAAAAGAGAAAGTAAGTTTAAATGCAAAGAATAACGATAACAATACTCAACCTTAAAACTGACAATGAAGTGGTAGGTAATTTCTGCCTTTTAGGATTAACTATTAGTAAAATAACTAGCTGTCCAGAGATACACTGTAGACTAGCACTTGGTAGGATAGTAATGAAAGCCTTGGAAAAGATATTTAGATACTGTGATATATCTATACCTTCAAGATCTGAAACATGCAGGCAATAGTTTTCTTTTTGACATTCTATGGAAATGAAAGATGGACTTGAAGAAGCAGGACAGAAAGAATATGGATGCTTTTGAACTCTGGAGTTAGAGAACACTCCTGAGACTATCTAGAACACAGAAGATAGAATAATAGGATGGAAGGTACCCTGGAGGTCTTCTAGTCCAACCTGCTGCCTATGGCAGGACATCCTATATCATTCTAGACTCTCTTTGGGCTTGATGGGATGGATGCACATGATCATAGAAAGAATAACAAACGAATAGAATGTCTATGGAGATTCTCAGTCATCCAGGTCATGGTTGCCCCAAAGGTGCTTTTTCAAAAGCCAATTGGACATTTCCTTGAAGACATTTCTTTGAAGTCATTTAGCTTCTCATCTGAGAAGCTTCTTCAGAACTGAAGACACTTCTTGGATGAGAAGCGGAATGTCTTCAAGGAAAAGCAAAGTTCAGTTGTCTTTTGAAAATGCACCTTTGGGATAACAGAACAGAATAATAAAGTTGGAAGGGATCCCAGTCCTCCAGTTCAACCCCCTACTTAAGCAAGAGATCCTATACCATTTCAGACAAATGGCTGTCCAATCTCTTCCTAAAACCTTCAGTGATGGATCACCCATAACTTCTGAAGGCAAGCAGTTCCACTGGTTAATTGTTCTCACTGTCAGGAAATTTAGTTCTTCCCTCCTTGAATAGCTTTCATCCATTGCTTCTTGTCCTGCCTTCAGGTGCTTTGGAGAATAAGGTGACCACCCTCTTCTTTGTGGCAGCCCTTCAAACATTGGAACACTGCTATCATGTCAACAAAAATGGATCATAGAACAAATTAATCTAGAGTTCTCAATCCAAACAGAGATGATAAGCTCAAATTATAATATTTGGACATGTTATGAGAAGTCTATAATGATGGGAAAGATGGTAGGAAAGAAGATAAGATGGCCAGCAACAATATGAATGACTCAGTTATAATGGTGATGAGTGCACTGCTGGAAAACCTGAAGGATCATTTTGGGGATGAATCATCCTGAAGGTTGCTAAGACTCAACTTCAAGTTGATGGCACATAGTGACTTAAACATTTGATCAGTATGCATTATCACTTAGTGGTTTCATTATCTCTTGAATCTGAGTTTTAAAAATCTAGATACCTGGGCGTGGTGGGAGGTGAAGAGGCTGTGCTATCTTTAATCTGCTCTTCAGATCTTCCCATCGCCTCTGGTCAACTGTTAGTAGAGCTGTTCCCTAAAACAACAGGAACCATTACCACCAAAATGTATTTGCTTATTTCTTATCATATTCATTATTGGAATGAATAATCATTAGGGATTCTTTCAACTAGGGAACAGTGCTCTATTTTACTTCTGTTTTAGGGGTTGTTTTCTAATTCCAATGTGTGTGTGTGTGTGTGTGTGCTTTGTCCATTTTTTAAGTTAAGAATCTTACTGAAAATTTGGTAAGTCATATCCAGGTTGCATACCTGGTAAGAACAACCAGAGGGGAAAATGCTTATAGCAAGACTTAGAAATGTTATACTTACTGTAACTCCATTACTATAAATTAATCCTGTAAATACTTAGGTATGCAATACATTACATGTGATGCAAAAATAATTTCATAATTAAAAAATATTCCTGCTGTTTAACTATACGTTAGCACAGCAATATTATCTGATTACACATTAAAACATTTAAAAGTAACACAATATAAATATGATTACTATAGAAAAATAGAAAGTCTGCAGTGTTACCTTATTTTCATTGAAATTAGCAATGACAACTCCAACAAAAAGGGTAAGTCCAATCATGCAGCCCAGGAATACAAAAACATGAATGTAGATGCCATGAATCTGCAACATAAAAATTTATCAATATTCCATTTGTCTTATTAACAAAAATTAATAGGAAAAAATCTGACAAGTCTGACAAATTTGAGGAAAGCACTTACTGGACCCACACGATGAATGATGACGTCTCTGACTTCTACCCACCCCTTTAATGACAGGACTTCAAATAATGCCAACATTGCATTACCAACATTGTCAAAGTTAAAGTTTCGAGGGTTAGCCCTGCAATACAACACAGAGATGAGGAGTAAAAAAATGTTGTTTGCCAACAAGATATCCTAAAACATTGCCAGGTTAGTAACCTGTTACTCCCTGACGTGATTCTCTTGTTCTAGCCCAGTGGTTCTCAACCTGTGGGTCGGGACCCCATTTGGGGTCGAACGACCATTTCACGGGGGTTGCCAAACAACGCTGTCCACCATTTTTCCCCCCTTTCCTTAGCTGTGCTACTCCCTTTTATTCTATTGGCTTTTGAAAGCCAATAGAATAGACTCTCTTGAATAGAGTCTAGCCTCTCCTGAAATTCCCTCCATGATCTTGATCTTTTGTACTCCTTAATTGTGATAAAGAGTCCTTTTTCGGGGTGGGGGGAGATGTTTGATGGGAAGAAACTGACAAATGGCAACTCAAGAGAATTAAGCAATGCAACTAATCAATTGCTCTTTTGCTATTTACCCTACAATAATAATCTCTAGATATATTGTCTTTTGGACAGAAGGCACATTCCAATGTGGCTGTTGAATTTAAAGATTTTGAGATTGGAAATTATCATTCCATTGGATTAATCTACTGGAGTAATTCTATTAATCAACTCTAACAATAAATCTATATTTATGGCCAAAAACACATTACTTACCAGACTCGAGGCACCCAAAATCCAGGCTTTTTTTCACCAGGTCTTAGCTTCAAATTCAGATTTTTCGAAACACTTACATTTATTCGGAATATACCATGGCAATCTTCCTGTCAGAAATATAACATCACATTTTGTATGGAAAAACCAAAATGCTTTATTTTAATATATCTCAAAAGCATACTGTAAACAAACAAGAGTTATGCCTCAGTTTAGGGAATCTGCCATTTATGTTTAGGAATGCAGAGAAGCTAATCTATGCATGAAGAAGACAGAACTTATGGTGATAAATTCTTTCCCAGACTTTAAGCAATATTTTCCTTGACTGAGACCACACACGTATTGTAAGCAACATCAGATTTACAGTACCAGCGATCTGCTTGGACAGCTGGAGGAGTAAGTCTGGATTCTGGAACTCTTTCAGCTAAACTGTTCCCTCTCAATGCTTGAATTCTTACATGTTGGGAAAGGCACAATTATTAGATTTTACTGTTCTCACTAAGCTAAATACTGAACTTCATCAGTTACATAGCTGATCCTTGCTTCTATTGATCACATTTCGTGATAATTTATTATTTGAAAGTAGTTTGATGTATACATGTATGTTTACGCTTAGGTAAGCATATATGGTAGAAACCATTGTGAGAGGGCAATACTCTAAAAGGGAGTCCAGAAGTATTTTTAAACAAATGATACAGAGGGAAATGACTTGTCTTAACAGAACATATACTTTCAGTTCTATGCCTTTTTTAGTGTTTCTATATAATATCACCATAAATTAAGCCTCATCAGCTGATGAAAATGTGTGAAAGAAGGAGGAATTTATCTAAGTACATAAAACGTGCTCTTACTCTTGCAGTTATATGGGGATCATTGCACTTAGCCAGTTTCCCAGCAAAAAGTTGAACTCCAAAGCTTGCAAAAACAAGCATTAATGTCAATAAAAGGATTGAAACCTGAAAAAAATATGAAAAAAGTATTTTTCTCTTATATTTTCTATAACAATAATTATTATGCAATGACTTTCATTACAGAACTGCAAGGAAGAACCCATTACTATAACAGTGTTTTTAGGATGGCAGCTAAGTGGTTTCTTCTGTTCATGTTTTTTTCATCCTTCTTTTCATATACACTAGGAAGTAAGCTTACTATATTCAAATTTACTCCCCATCCTGTTCAAATAACTTGCTATATATTTCATGCATTCAAGCATGTGCACAATCAAAAATGTCCTAATGGACTGGCCAATTTATTTTGCCAGTCATAGCAATCAGATTTATCTATAACTCTTTAAAGGAAACCCATATACTTATATCAAACCATGCCACTCACACATAGCAAAGTACAAAGTTTACTTTTAACACTTGCTAAAATTTGGTATTCAGAACCTGGGAGAACAATGAAATAATAGCACATTACATTTCTTTGTGTAAACATGGGAAAATTTAATGCATCTTGCAGGAATGTAACATTTTCCCCAGTACAAAATATCACCTATTATTTTTTGAAGAAAATGTAATGCCTTCATAGCAGTAACATTGCATTCTTAAAGAAACAGACCACCTGCTTTAAATACATAGCTATGAATGTGATCAGAGGTTATAACTGGATGGATTCACAAGCAATTACAAGAGTCAAGAACCAAGGAGATTAATTCGTTAAATTAATTTCTGGACCTCTGATGAAATATATGTGTTGATGATTTCCCTTATAAAAAAAGATATTTGAAATGAGAAACCATACATAGTACTCACTAGAAAGATTTCTTTGAAACCACTAAATAGTTCCCGAACAACTTTTCTCATCTGAGGCACCAGTTTAAAAATACGAAGAGGCCGAAGACACCGTAGAACCATTAGCAGCTGAACTCCTGATTTAGCAGGAACATTCTGGGGCATCCAGCAGAGAAACATCAGGCTTACCTTTGGAAAAAGAGAAAATAACCTGAATTATAATGTGAGTTTTAACATGTATTTCCTTCCTACACTACAGATAATCCTTGACTTATGACCACAGTTGAGTCCAAAATTTCTGTTGTTAAGTGAGACATTTGTTAAGTGAATTTTGCCACATTTTATGACATTTATTGCCTCAGTTGTTAAGTGAATCAGTGCAGTTGATAAGTTAGTAACCCGGTTGTTAAGTGAATCCCCATTGACTTTGCTTGTCAGAAGGTCGCAAAAGGGGATCACATGACCTCCAGGACACTGCAACTGTCATAAGTATGAACCAGTTACCAAGTATCTGAATTTTGATGATATGATCATGGGGATGCTGGAAAGGCAAAAACTTACAACTAAACAAGATCTCCTCCCTCCTCTTTACTGGAATAATACACTGTTGGAGAATGATAGAGTATGTATAGATTAATATTTTCTATTCACAATTCCATTTCCTATTTTTTTTCTGATAAAAAATAGAGGGAAGCCATGGAAACAAAATATAGAATATTCTGAATATTCTGAATACAGAATAAAGAAAATACAAAATACAGAATACTGCCAAAACATTATAATGGTGTTGATGCTGTTGCTGTGCCCTTCATTTTCAGAAAAAGTCTATGAAGGAGGTGTGGCAACTGCAAAATAAATCCTTAGTACCATGATGAAAATAATATACTAATAAAACAATGGAATTTCTTTGTTTATTTTAAATATTCATAGTCTCCTTCATAGTATATTTTTGCAAATATGTTAGACAACAATTAAGCCTAATTGTTTATATATTATAAATATACAACTGAAGGTAATGGAACTTTATATGAAAATGATGTCAACTATGGATACAAATTATTTCTAACTTTAACATAGATCCTAGTTTTTACTGGTTTGAATTAACTTGAAGAACAAAAACTTACAAGGTAAATAAAAATATCCATGACACCTCCAAAATCTCTGATGACTGCCGTTGGTGTAAAAAACAAGCCATCAGCCATAATCTTCAAGTTAAGTTCAATACTCATAAATATTACAAAAACATATTCAGCAATCTGAAAAACAAAGAAAAAACATTGGCTGAATAACAGTAAGGTTTCCAAAATACTGTACCCAAACCAATTATTTTCAGAAAATTACCTGTAATGTAGGTGCATGCATTACTCTTCGAAAAGGGGATTCAAACATCATTGAAATACAGGAACATATGGTGACAATGATCATTACCCAATCTAGATAAGTAACTAATCCCAGCAAATCACTGCAAAATAAAATGGAATAAATTCAGTGGCAATGAGACTCCAGAAATTATAAATATCAGTCAAATATAAGTTGGACTAGTGAAATTAGATAATTTTTCACAATGTTGACATCTTAGAAGTAATTATTCTAGAAAACATTTCTAGAAATAATTATTCTAGAAAACAGTTTTATTCTAGAAATTTAAGTTTGCAAAAAAGTGTACATCAATGTATAAAATGCATAAATTCATTTTTGCTTACTAAAGTTGATGATATTTTGTGTTTTTAACTGCTCCAGTAACAGGATCTGTTTTAGAGCTGTAACAGAGAAAAAAATGTTTAGAGTTCTATTGTTCAATTTTTATTATACAAAGCCGTGTTACAAATATATAAGGCAATCTGCATTTGAAATGAAGAGTATTTTTTAAAATAAACAAAACCACAAATTCATAGCCATTTGGGGATTGAACATTTTCATTTATGATCCCACAACTCACAGAAATTTGCTAAAATTTCATACCAGTTTCTTAAATCTAATGTTAATAGATATAGTTTAGATCAGTGGTTCTCAACCTGTGGGTCGGGACCCCATTTGGGGTCGAACGACCATTTCACGGGGGTCGCCAAACAAGGCTGTCCGCCATTTTTTCCCCCTTTTCTTTGGCCACGCCCCTGGCACCCGGTGATGTATAAGTGGTTGGGGGTCACCACAACAGGGGGAACTGTATTATGGGGTCGCGGCATTAGAAAGGTTGAGAACCACTGGTTTAGATTGAGCCTTAATTTTAAAATAAGGTGACTATTGGGCACTGGGAACATATAAGGACAATTTTTTTTCCTTTAATTAATAGCTACATTGGCTACCCATCAATGGAAACAGAATTTGTGACTTAATATATCCGTTCTGAAATATCAAGATAATTTATATTCTAGTTTATATTTTTAGTTCAAATCAAAGTCCCTAAATCCTTCCTCAAACTGATGCTGTCTAATATATTGTTTTGGATCTCTGAGAGTAGATGTTCCAGAACTGGATGGCAGCCGGTATTCTACAGCAGTTCCAAAGTTTGTATGACTTTAGGTTTATACCATATCACTTCTGTTTAAGTTGTCATCACTATCCCGCCACCAAATAATATTTGTTTTAGCTGAGCACATGCAATTCCCTCCTTCAGGAATTTCTCAGGGAGGGCTTTGGAGTCCAGGCATACTGCTGGATGACTGGAAGGCTTTGTGAGAACTGTAAAGTACAAAGTGAGGTCATGTTCTCCTCTATCAGCTGCCACATTTGAAAACTTGTACAATATTCAAATGAGTGTCAAGGGCAATCTGCATAGAAGGTATCACAACATTCATATCCCTGAATTCATTTACAAATTTTGAAAAAAAAAATTCTGTCACTTTATGTAGCAAAAGCAGTGCACACAGATTTCCTAATTTTTGTTGTGCTTGAAAGAATAAAATAAATAATAAAACCAAGAGACATTTGCAAAATATGTAATTGCTGGCTATGCTAAAATGTCTCAGATTAGTTATTGATGTTATTTTGCAGAAGCTTTTTAATAACAGAACATAGTGAATCAAAGCAACACACCATCATAAGTTACACATGTACTTACGCATTAAAGCGAGCTCTAACTACAACTCGGCAGAAATTCCTAAATCTGTGTTCCCGGCCCACTATGAAGAGAGGCTTGTCAAAATAGGGGTGATTCTCCCGCAACTCTTCTTCCTGAACTTTTCTTTCAAGAACAACATGATTACAGAGACAGCAATCAATATATACATTTTTTTCTAATTTCTTTTGGACAGCAGCAATATCTCAATTCTAGTATAACTGAGACAGTGTTAAATGTGGGCTTTAGAAAGCCTCTGATCAGCTATGATGATTATTTAATGGTTACTATCAAGTACCCCCTAACTTGTTAGGGTGCAAGTCAGATGATCAGGAGATAAAATAAGCTGGGAACTAAAACCAAAAATTATACAAAGAGTCCTATATGCAAAACCCAGAGAGTGAACCTACAAGATTTCAATGCATAAGTTCTCTTTCTATGTGAAAAGTTCACAGAATTGTTGAGAGGCTGTAACTGCTTCTCAATGAAGGGGCCACCTTGAAGGAAACATGGAACAATACAAGAAAGTGCACTTGAACAAGAAATGGTTCTCTCTTGAGAGGGACCTTGAACAAGAGTTCAAGAACTTGTTTGTTTGCTTGCTAGTGGAGAAACAATCACATTGCAAGTGAATAACGAAGCTCCATCTTTTTCTTGAAATGGAGATTATACAACTGAGTATCATTCACATATTAGTGATACCTCCACCCAGTAGACCAAGGCTTCATGTAGACTAAGGGTCCCCAACCTTTTGATTCCATAGACCAGCAGAGGTGGTGCAAATGATCCTTCGTGCGCTCGCTCGCTGCTTTGGTGGCCTGGTTCCCAACAGTCCATGGCTTGGTAGCTGTCATGGCCTGGGGTTGGGGACCCCGATGTACACCTTAAGCATTAGGGAGGAATAGGATGGTTGCCCCCCCCCCCAGCTCTCTACTTTGGAGTTCTTGTAAAGTTGACCTATTCCCCAATCATTGACTGAAACCAGTCCTCGAGGAGAACACAATAAGACAGTGTTTCTCACAGGCAACTTTCATGGTTCAGAAGGATACCACGATCAATTGAACTGAAGACTCTTGAGAGATTCAGTTGCACTGTCCCACTGTGGTGCCACCACAGATCATCTCCTGAAATGAGCAATGCAATTTCCATCTAATAACCAGGCCTGAATCCTGACCAACAAGCATCCAGAAAATCTTTAGGATTCTCTGTGGCTAAGTAGTATCCTAATTTCTTCTTTCCATAGAGAAGGCTAGACCCTGGATGATAATGGCCTAAATATACTACTAACTTTTATGATTGCAAGATCTTTGAAGATGTATGTCCAGCAAAGAATGCCCCCTTTAAAACTATGCTGGCCTTTGAGATTTATGCATATTATCTACAAAGAAAATATGCTCATAAGCAATCTATCAATGGGGTAACCAGTTAAAATTCACTAAGTAATGTTTGCCTAACTGGGATTCAGATCAGTTCTACATACTGACATAAAGGTTACATTTAAAATACCTTTTCATTTCTGCTTGTTCTTTCTTTTCTTGGATCATTTTAATGTCACTGTCTTCCCTTTGTGCATTTCTGTACCTCACTGTATTAGAATGCTGGAAGAAAAATGTTTTGTTAATCTGTTTTCTATTTTTTACTGTATGCAAGCATTAAACTTTTAAAAGAGAAAAAGAAAGTTTTCCATCAGGGTTGGGAGAAAATAATATCATAATCAGTAATTATGATCAGCTCTTGTTAAACATTTTCTTTACCATTTTGTATATTTATTTAACTATTGCATTGGTCCAATTAAATATAAGCATATTTGAACATATTACTGAGTTTAATATTAATTCAGCACTGAGTTAGTTATTAGTTAGTTAGAAATTATGTTTAATTTCTATGATTGATAATAATAGGTTTTAAACATCAATTTATTATGATTAAGGAGCAAGGATGAATCCAATAAAATAAAATAAATGGTCCTGACTTGATAGAAACAAGAATGTAGCCATTGTGAATATTTCAGAAAGCTGAATGCTTAGCTGGGATAGTAGTAGTATTATGAAGTGAAATCACTGAAAAAGTAAGAAGCAGGACAGATATTTTGATAAAATTTCCAATTACATAGCATCAGGCTATTTTATCCATGTTCCAAATACATTGTTTAAGAGCTTATTTAATTCAAATATACTATAAATGCCATAAAAGATGGCGAAAAGCCACATATCCTTAGTTTTCTCAGAGTTGATTCACTTGGAAGGATGTAGATTATAGAAAGTTAAGGGGTCATTAGATTAGCTTTAGCCATGGCAAGTCTACTTTGTCACAGTTGGGGTTCTAGAGAAATAAGGCTGGCTTCACTATGAAGCAGCCCTTGGGACCCAATAGAAAGATCCAAAGATCACCCTTAGGAACTTGCATTGGTGTTTTATCAAAATGTATAAATATTCATAAGCACGAGACTTAACTGTTTGTCCTGAAATAACCAAAGGGTTGAGGGTATGAAGGTTTCCAATGAGATAGAAAAAGAACTTCAAATCGTAGATAATGATCTTGACTGTTTTCTGTAACCTGAAGGATTTGAGTGTCCTGCAATATGCCCAGACTATCTCATTTCTTCTGAGCATGTCCCACTCAGTGCTTTTTTTGTAAAAAAAAAAAAAGGTGCTGGAATTCACACGTCATATAACCCCCCTTGCCTACCCTACAAAGTCCATCCCAAAAAGGTGCCGGAACTCCGTTCTGGGCGTTCTATGCCAAAAAAAGCCCTGGTCCCACTACAATTAATATTGATAGGAACATTTAATTTATGGTATATCTTTCTCACAATTAGTTGTGAAGAACAATAAAACTCATCTCAATCCCACCACTGGGAAGGAAAGTGTAGGCAGTATCATTTGCCTAAAGTAAAACAAGGATTTGTCTACCAGCCAAACATGATATCTGTCTGTATGTTATATGCAATTTTGCTAATGAGAAACAGCTGTCATCTTGCCCAAGTAGTATTCCAGGAAAGATGTGATAGATTATTATGAATTCTGACCCAGCTGGAGATGTCTTTTATCTCAAATTATAATTCCCAGGAACAATTTACTTTGCTCATTTGTGAACTGAGATTCAGTAACTGTGTAATTTGAAATTACTGTGAATGTTGTTTTTGTACTGGAAAGGATCATTTCATTAAAGAATGCACTCAAATGGAACATCAATAATACAGGGTTTCAAAAATCTGTGTTATAATAGCCAAGGTATTTTAAACTTCATTCTGTTTTCAGTCTTATTTAGGTATTACTTAGAGTAGACTATTCACTTACACTTACATCCTGAGTTAATGTTTCAAGAGACTTTCCTCTGCTGATTCGCTGACTGTTGGAACCATGCCTTAGTGACCTGAAATAATGACATTGATTTAGTAAAAAACTAAGATCACTGAATGTGCATCAGTGGGACAACGGACTTTGCAATTATGCATTTGATTTTGCATTACACTCAGCTGCATCTTGCTTTCTACAAATGGTGACTTTCATCTGTTTTGGATTACATTAGCTGGGAATCATGACAGCTGAAGGTCAACAAATATTAAAGGTGCTAAGTTAGGGAAGTAAGAAGCTTTTATCTGCAGTGCAGAATTCCTAGTTGTACTAATCCAAAGAGATGGTGGACTAGTTCATTTTTTTTCTTTTTAATGGATTTTCTCAAAAGAGAGACAAATTATTTAAAAAGTGATGATGTGAAAAATAGAAAGATTAACTAAAAAAGTACATTACTGAACTAATTGATAAATCTGTGAGGGCAGTTGAACAATAGAGGTCCTGACTGGACCACCCTGTTTATGGAATTTTTCCTGATCATTTACAACCAGGACTTGGATATCTTGAAAACAATTATATTTAAAATATAAGTCTTCTATTATGATAAATGTCATTATTATTGCAATAAAAATACATCTATTATTTATTATGAACTAGTTCTAATTTACTCATGTCTACTGTGTAACTTATAAGAATTTTATCTTCTACTTTTAACATGTTCTTAAAAGTTTGTATTGAGTTCTGCTTACCTGCGTTCTTGGCGTATATGATGCTGAACACTAAGAATAGATCGTTCTTTTGCAGGCTGCCCCTCAAAAGATCCACTAAGCATACGCTGACGAGTACAGGCTCTAGGTAAACAGATACTATGATAAGTAATAATTAGGGATATACAGCATTTAGGAAATAACTCTGAAAAAGTATTTCAGACTTTGAATGTAACATTGGTGTGCAACCTTTTAAAGAACGTACATAATTTTCTGGGATCATGGAAATGATACAGTTGTCTTAAAGAGTTCCAGACTCTTTAAGCATTGTTTTAAAATTGAATCTGAAACAGGCATAGCTAGGAAACTGCGATAGTGTCATGCAGCCCTCAGGAAGGATAGGAGACATCTTTCTCAAACATTGTCTATGCAAGGGATGGAAAGGTTGGAATAATACATTCCATTTTTCATGGTAGGATGAAAAGAACTAGGTCAAGACTAATTCACTAAGCCATCTGTCAGTAAGTCTTACCACTAAAATGGCAACCTTCTCCATTCATCTCACTCTTGTGAGTTCCATTGTGTGGAACTTGGTCTCAAGCTGTGATCCCTGATGCATTGCACTTTACCTTGCTTTCATTTTACATGAAACCTACTTCTTAATGAAAGGTCCCTCAAATCCCTCTTTAATACCTAAGAATTTTATTGATTGCAGACTCCTTGTCCAGAAGATTTCTTGCCTTAATGCTGAAAACAGATTTGCGAAGCTGTAAAAAAAAAAAAAGGAAACCAACTTTATTGACTGTCTTAGTACTTAAGTATGTTGTTTAAAACCTTAACTAACAAAATCAAATGGAAGCAGACAAATGCAATTATGGTGAACCAAGAGTTATTTTTGTTTGTGTTGAATCTGCACTTCATCTGGAAGAATTCTTAAAGATTTGGGACCCATAATTTTAGAGTAAATTTTCTATCATATACAATATGGTGTATATGGTACCATATTTTCTACCATATACCTTGGTATACCGGTATACTATGCTTAACATTAGTGAAAAGACAAGAAATAAAGCCCATGTATAAATAAGTACAATTATTAATGGCCATCCATTAATCATCCAGGCAGTTTTATGACAAATTAATAAGCTTTCTCTTTTAAAAATGAAAAGGACAGTTCTGAAATTATAAACTCTGATATCAGAATCTCCCTCCAGTTTCCAAACTCTATGTTTAATAATATGAAATCTCAACATGTTTGGCTAATTGTCCCGCTTGGCGAATTGCCCACAGCTAATTGTCCAATGGTGAATTGCCCAGGGCCATGCGGTGGGGCAGGAGCGGTGGGCAATGAGTGGCAGAGGTGGGTCAGCGGAGGAGAGGCAGATGGAGAGGAAGGCCTGCGGTGGGTCAGCCGGGGCAGGGGAATGTTGTGATTTAATTCTCATAATTTTATCATTCTCATAATATCATTCAGTGTTCTGGGTTATTTGATTCACACTGCATGAACTACAGATAGCATACACACAAAGGGATCTGACAGCTGTCGGCAGAATACTTTTTTCCCCCACTGTTGTATGTTTAATTAACATTTTCTATAGCTTGTGCTTTCTTTCTCTTCTACTGTGCACACAGACCAGTGTTCATTTTTAAAAAATGTTATTTCAAATGAGTATTAGAGAGAAGACATTTCAGAGGATATACTTAAATGTCAGGTTGCTATGGTAATTGCCTCTGTAGAAAGCTATAATCATCTAACAAAATGCAACCTAATGTTCCAGTCACATGGATAAAATTCCTGCTGAGTACAGGAAACTAAGTCAATCTGTGAAGCCCAATGTTATCTGGCAGTAGGATCCTTCCTAAATGACTGACATTTATTTTTCTGATCTGTTTTTTTAAAAAAAAGATTCTAGAAGTTAATAACTTTGTGAACAAAGCATTCATTGTTGGTTGACTGTTGTAGAGCTTGGGTAAACAGAATACAATTATCCCTCTTTGCTCTGCAAAATTAGAGGTATCAATACTCTCTTTCTGAAGAATCCTTCAATCACAAACCTTTCCAAGAAGCTCTGCCTTCCACCAACCCTATGCGGGTTAGTTTATTTCTATTCCTGGCTAGAAAAAGTGATGAGTTCAATGTAATCACGAGTTACAGTGACATCCCACATTTCATCAAAATGAAATTCAATGGTGAAAAAAGTAAGGTTCTACATTTAGGCAAGAAAAACCAAATGTATAGGTATAGTACAGGGGGTACCTTGCTCAATAGTAGTAACTGTGAGAGGGACCTCGGAGTCCTAGTGGACAATCACTTAAATATGAGCCAGCAGTGTGCTGCAGCTGCCAAAAAGGCCAACACAGTGCTAGGCTGCATTAACAGAGGGATAGAATCAAAATCACGTGAAGTATTAATACCACTTTACAATGCCTTGGTAAGGCCACACTTGGAATACTGCATCCAGTTTTGTCACCACGATGTAAAAAAGATGTTGAGACTCTAGAAAGAGTACAGAGGAGAGCTACAAAGATGATTTAGGGGACTGGAGGCTAAAGCATATAAGGAAAGGCTGCTGGAATTGGTTATGTCTAGTTTAACGGAGAGAAGGACGAGGGGGGACATGATAGCAGTGTTCCAATATCTCAGGGGCTGCCACAAAGAAGAGGGAGTCAAGCTATTTTCCAAGGTGCCTGAAGGCAGGACAAGAAGCAACGGATGGAAACTAATCAAGGAGAGAAGCAACCTAGAACTAAGGAGAAACTTCCTGACAGTTAGAACAATTAACCAGTGGAACAACCTGCCTCCAGAAGCAGTGAATGCTCCAACACTGGAAGTTTTTAAGAAGAGACTGGACAGCCATTTGTCTGAAATGGTATAAGGTTTCCTGCCTGAGCAGGGGGTTGGACTAGATGACCTCCAAAGTCCCTTCCAACTTTATTATTATTATTATTACATATGAGACTTCAGATCACAATATGAGTGGAGATCTTTATACACTGTTGTGTCTAGTGACTTGCCTTCTGGTCAATGTATTTGTCTTCAATTGCCAGCCTTTTAGAGTGATCACAGGAGGAGGAAGAAGCTGATGGAAGCCTTCTCAGTAAACAAGTTGTATCTTGCTGCTGTCGATCAATGAACTGTTTCATAAAGCTTTCCCTTTAGAGAGAGAGAGAGAGAGAGAGAGAGAGAGAATTGCCTCTAATTTATATTTCCTTTGTACACGTATAACAAATAAATGACAACCAAATTTGAATAAATATATCCTTCATATCATTTATCATCCAAAGCTCTTTGCTATCTGATAGAACAATTTGAAATACCAATAAAATGTATTTTTTTCCAATATTTTATAATAATAAATGGGGCAGCAAGCAATAGGAACCTATTCTATCAATTAGGCTTGTGGAAAATAGTAGACCTATGTAGAATTCATTGTAAAAGACTAATACGATATTATTGCCAGATGAGTATTTATAATCCCACCAATATAATCCAGAAAATTTCCTATTTAGTAAGTTTATTTTTAATAGAGTCAAATGCAATCTATAGGTCATCATGTCAATACTTATCAACTGATAAACACATTTAAAATGTGTTTATATGACAGAAAGTTCAAGGATGGAAGTTCTAATACCAAATCATTCTCCCATATTTTTTTCTGTCTTTCAAGATAACTTGATTAAAGATATTCTCTTGTTTTCAACTAAAAAAGATGCATTTGAAGGTAATGTTCTAATTGTGAAGCAATCAATAATTGAGAATCAATGACTAAAGTCAATGTACATGAATCCAAATTGGAATTTGTGACCATTTTTCGCAAATATATTCAGCAATAATAGTGTTTCAATCAATACTTCTCTAAAACACTTCTCCCATTTTTCTAGCTTGCCAAGAAATAGTTGTGATCTACTTTATCAAATGCTTTACTGAAATCTAAGAAATACCACATCTACAGCATTTTGCTGATCCTCTAATTTAGTCACTTTGTCAAAGAATAAAATAAGATTGGTTTGGCATGATCTGTTTTTGACAAGCCCATCTTGGCTTCTGCTTGCTATTACTTTGTCAGCTTCTAGGTGTTCACAGATCTTTTGCTTGATTATCTTTTCCAAGATCTTTCAGGTATTAATGTCAGGCTGTTTGGTCTGTAATTTCCTGGATCTCTCCCCCCCCTTTTTTTTTGAAGATGGAAACTACATCAGCTCTTTTCCAGTCCTCATGTAGTTCCTTGATGTTCCAAGAACTTTGAAATATATGTTTCAATGGTTCTGAGATGACGTCTGCCAGTTCCTTCAGAACTCTGGGATGTAATCCATCAGGGCCTAGTGAAATGAATCCTAGAGCTGACACGTGTTCTCTTACCTTATTTTTGCATATTTTAATTTGCATCCCTAACCTGTCATTTATGGTTCTGTTTTTGGTAAGTTGAATACTGTTTTCTTTTTTGTGTGAAAACAGATGCAAAGTATGAATTAAGCAGTTCTGCTTTCTCTCTACTGCCCATTACTTGTTTGCCATCTTCTCGCATTAGTAGACCTATTGTTTTTTCCCCTTGTTTTTTGTGTTGAAATAAACTTTTTAAAATTGTTTTTGATATTTGTTGCAAATCTTACTTCATTCAAAGCCTTACCTTTCCTAACTTGATCTTTGCAGATTTGGGCTATTTGTTGGTATGATGCCTTAGTTATGTGTCCTTCTTTCCATTTTTTTGTACTTATCCTTTTTTTCTCTCAGTGGGTCTGAGAGTTCTTTGTGCAACCATGCTGGTTTTTTTTTCCTGGTTTTCTTTTTTAGTGGTATTGAACTGGACTAGGCTTTTATAATCAGAAATTCCATAACTGGAATTCCATAATTGGAATTTTCCATATTCTGTTCTTACAGTGGCTGTCTGATCAAATAGAATGACTAAATGAGCTAGAGGTAGTGTGATGATATTCCCAGTTGTTTAAGGCAGTACCAGAGCTTGTCACAGTCAACATAGTCAAAGGCTTTTGTGTAGTGAGTGAAAACATGTAGAGCTCTTTTTGGTATTCCTTTGCTTTTTCCATCATCCAACGTAGATTGATAATTTGACTTCCTTTCCAAACTCCTGCTTGTACATCAGGAAGTTCTCTGTTGGCAGTTGGATTCAAATGATACTAGATTATCTTCAAGAGAATTTACACATGCGTAGTATCAAGGTCTATGGTTCGTGATTGGAAGAGTCTTTCATATAATCTTTCTTTGATATTGGGATAAATATTGACTTTTTCCATTCTTTCGGCCACTGACCAGACTTCCATACACTTTGCCAAAGCACTGTCAGTGCTTTTGTTGGCAGTGGTCTCAGCAACTTAAAGTAATTCCACCCACTCCTGGGGCTTTGTGGTTAAGCAACTGGCTTTCAACGTTGAAGAAATCTGTTTTCACTAGGAGGTATGTCTATGATTTACCCATCCGTGTTACTAGTATGATATTTTCTTTCTTCTTTCTCTGTAGCTTTATTGGTACCTCCCAGCCAGGGGGAATCACTGCTTAGTGCCATATCTTCCACATCTTTGAGTCAATTCATGAAGTTTTTTGGCAGGGTAAACTAGAGTAGGTCACCAGTAGGTCTTTCTACTATATATGATAGCATTAATTATCAAACTTACTTAATTTGAAGAAAGACCCTATAAACACAGCTGGGGCTTATTTTTAAGAACACATTACTATAAGAAGATTATTTTTAACAACAACAATAATATATGCTGCCCGACTCCCAGTGGCTCAGTGAGTTGTAAATTTTGACACAGGAGACAGGAAAAAGAACTTTTCTACACATTGAAAAACAAACTACCAAAGACCCAAAAATATGAAAATGAAGAACAAAAAACCCCCTGCCTATGAACTTCAAAAGAGCCAGCTTTGCAGTAAGAAGGCAGAAAAAGTTTACTACCTTATTTTGGGAACTGTGAAATCTGAAGGGAGCTTGGAGATTTTTACCATCTGAGGCCTGTTAGGGAATTTTTCAAATATCCGTAGGCGTAATGGGAGCTTTTCTTTGGTATCTGCATTTGCTTCACTTTGTTTCAGCTGAAAATTAAAACAAAAAAGTAAAAAACAAAAATTGGGAGGTCTAACATCTTAGGGATCAAACCGTTTTCAAAAGAGATTTTTTTTTCAGAACAAATGCAAGCAGTTGAAAAACCACTAGATGGCAGAAAAGAACTACAGAAGATTCTGACATCATTCTAATGTCAGTTTCTCACTATTTTAAGGCTCCTGTTACAGTTGAAACTCAAGCAGACATTTCTTGAAAGATATTAAATGCAAAGAATGTTGTATAAATATTTGTTTTTTCACAGTTCTCTAAATGCTATAAGAAAAATAAAGTCAATTTAAACTCATCTGTTATTACATTAATAAAATTATGTTTTGGACTTGGACTGCAAACAGACTCCCTGTTGACTAAGAAGTTGTTAAATTCTTAGTAAACCAAGGAATCTTGTTTTGGAATTTACTGATAAGGAGTGGCACTGTAAGAAACTTGAAGGCGACATAATTTGGTTCAAGGCTTTGTTTTCTGTCCCACAAAGACAAGCTAATTTTTCTTCTAGACTAGCGAGATGCTGTATTTTGAATGTTTGGTTTTTAAATGGTTTTCCATACTGCATGTTTTTATTGTTGTTGCTGTGAGCTGCCAAGAGTTGGGTATATAAGATGGGCAGCCATGTATGAATCCTAAAAAAAATAAACGGTCAATAGAAAGAAAATAGGAAGAAGAAAGAGGTAGAAAGAACATAAGGCCTAAGGGAAAATATATTCCCAGGCAGTTAACAAGTTTAATGCTAAGCAGCTTTCCTAGACGCTCTTAGCCAAAGGAATGAGCATATTGTAATGAGAATTATATCCTCATTTCAATAGCTAATAGGTAAAACTATTTATTTTGCAACAGTAATAGGAAGAAGATATTTTCTTAAATGAGCCATGGTGGCTACTCAGCTACTAGCACACCCATTAAGTTGTACAAACATTTGAAAGAAATAATTTGGCAGACATAGAATGTAACCAATAAAAGAAAAAGGAACTAAAATTCCGGTATTCTTTTTCCTCAGAATAGAGGAATGATAATTTAAAACATACACAACCATATGCACTGCATAGACCAAGGCAACCTTGGCTCTTTTATGACTCGTGGACTTCAACTCCCAGCTTGGGAATTCTGGGAGTTGAAGTCCACGAGTCATAAAAGAGCCAAGGTTGCCTACCCCTGGCATAGATCATCCTACCCACCCACATTCAACATAGATATTTGTTCATATCACAGAATCTACATACTCCAGTGTGCCTATCTCATAAAGACTGTCCAAATGAAATGGCTCACTAAAGCAAATCAAGCACATAACTGAATTTAGCATGCTCTCTAGGAGAGTTGATGAAGAATAAATCATCACAGATAATTTGAAGGTGTCTAATGGGCAGAGTCTCCCTTCTGTGTGGAAGGATAACTGCCTCCAAATAGCTCTCGCTGTTACAAACTGCACGTACCCTGGAAACACCTTGAGCTGAAGGATAAACAAAAGGTACAGATTTAATGATAGTGTAGTGAAGGATAAGGAGATCTTTAAGGGCACTGGAAAGGTCATAATTATCTTCAATCTTATCATTAATGAATTCTTAGCATGAATGTAGTAGTATACTAATTAAAACAGTTTCAGAACAGATTAGGAGATGCGACAAGGAATGCTATTCCTTCCAGATTGCCAACAGGGAGTCTAGCCAGTGACCCCTTTTTCTTGCCCCCCGGAACTCCGGGGGGGGGGATGGGAGGTAATAAGGAGATCATTTCAGGTACAAATGCCAGGTTGACTGTTGTGTACCTGATTTAACATGCATACACACTTCTATAAAAAGAGACACAACTACCGGGGAATCTGAAATGTTGCAAGTGAATTTGTACTGATGGATTCAGAAACTGCTGATCACAGACTCAAAAGTCCATTAAGGACAGGTTGTGACATGGTCTTATATATTCCGCTTTGTTGTTGCTGTTGTTTTTTTGGTGTTCTTTTTAAAAATTAAAGCCTGTGTGCTGTTCTTTAAAAAAAAAAAAAAAAAAAGAGAGAGAGAGAGAGAGAGAGAGAGAGAGAGAGAGAGAGAGAGAGAGAGAGAGAGAAATAAAGCAATGACAAAGATTCTTCACCCAAATGGTAAACTAGTATTTCAGAAGGAAAGGAGGGGAAAAACTGGCATCAGTCAAAGATGGGAAAATAATATAAATGGAGCTTAGAATCCCCCCAATGAAAAGTACAAAGTGAGGGAGAAAGAGAGGAGAGAGAAGGGCTTTTAATAAAACTGCACTGCCAAAAAAGCAAGAATGGCAGATAACAGTTCTACAGTATTCATATTTTAAAAGGGCTCTTGGACAATAGAAAAGAATATAAGAGAAATTTTCACTAGTAGCAGCTTATCCACAGAATTTATCAAATTTATATTTCAAGTATCATCTTTTTGAGTTGCAGCAATGCAGCATGGGTTTGCTATTGTTTTCTTTTTGAAGTTTTTAGTTAGCCTATATTCTGGTAGTTCTTGATGATCTGCCATCCAAGTGCCCTAGCCTTTCCAGATCAGTTGGTTTTTCAAAGGGAAGGAATGAAATATCTCATCCTGTAATAAAGCCTTTAGGTACATATAAAAAAGTTTTTGAGGCCTGATTAGTGTACGGAATGCCACTTTATTTAAAAATATCAAAAACATGAAAAAGCTTTGTAAGATTAAAGTTACTTTTCATGTTAAACTGTATTTGTGTGTGTACGTATGTGTGTGTGTGAGTGTGGGTGTATATGTGTGGATAGGGGTTGCAAGTTTAATTCAAGGCTTGAGGGAGCTGGCTTCTTACGCAGAAATGCAGAAAATACATTGGAGTCAATATCTGTTGCTGTTTTGATTTCAAGTTGCAAACATTTTGACATACATTTCACCCATTAAAAACCCCATGACAAGTCCCTTCCCCAAAATAGACTAAGCACTCTGGTCTGCCAATAAAGACTTTGGGAATTCTTTCTATACAAAGCCATAGTAATGCAAATCCATCCTTTGCAATTTTAACCCATGCCGCCTTTCCTATGGTAGCTTCTGTATTCTGTTTGGGATAAATTTATACATTAAGCCAAAAGCAAATAATTATCTTTGTACAAGGCAACACAAAGTGTGGCCAATTTTTATAGACAAAACTGAGGAACAATAAAAATACTCATTTGTGGGGCAGTCTAGCAAAAGAGTATATAAGCAAGGGTGGGAAAAAGCATTGTGCTGAAACATTAAACCGATTAATAACATGCTTTAAAATAATCTAAGCTCAAAATCATTCTGCAATGCCTCACAACATCTGTCGTGCTGAGATAATGCTACCTATTGGGAAGTATAAGGCATTTAACTTCACTTAGTGCCTTTGAACACTTTGGGGTGTAATATTTGCTCAGCATGGTGTATATCTTGTTCTTCCTCTGCATTGTTCAATTTATAGAAAGTGCTTGCATTATTTTAACCTCGTCCACCCAATAACTTACAACTGTATCTCAAAGGTTCAAAATATGTAAAAGGTTTTTACAATAACTTTTCTAGCTTTAAATTCTGTATCATAGTTGAGTTCATAGCTGAATTCATTTTTTTTTAGTTTTAGGGCACTTTTGTTTAATCTTTTAAACAAAATGTTTAAGAATCTGGCAAAAGTATCTTTGAACTTTCAGTTAGCATGTATTTATCAATGATGTTCACTAAATAAGTGAGGCTTTGAGAGAGCAGGTTCCATCAAACTTTAAACCTCTGTGTAAGATAAAAATGAAATATTAATGTGGGATGCCTAACATTAGCTGACAAAAATAAACTTTTCCATTCTCCTTCCCTCTGCAGTAACATATATACCCCCAAATCTCTTTCCAGTGTCAGACAGAGGATCTTGAAAAATAGGGCAAAAAAGGGCATAGCAAGAAAAGGACAAAATTTATTTACTTTCCTAATTTTTTTAAAGGCTACAATCCTACACTGAATTACCAGAAACTGGACAAAAGGATTTCTGACATATGTGAGGAAATTGCAGGATGGAGAACAAGATGGAGAAGGAGAAACAAGTTCAGTCAATCTGTAAAGCTGGAGTGAACACTGGGGATTTTTAAAAATCCCAGCATTCTAAATAATATTTTGATATGGCCAGAAATTACAATTACATTTGAACAACATAAAATAATAATTTTACTAATAATACTTACTGGAGTCTATTTAACTCCAATTTTAATAATATTGTTCAAGTCCAATGTTAGTATTCTAAACTGATTTTGCAAGCTTTGTCAGGATGGAATGTAACCATATCAACAGAAATAAGCTAAGACTGGAACAGTTTTTAATAAGTTTGAATATCCAGTTAAGTAATAGGTAACTTTTTTCAATGTCATCTTTTCTCCAATTTTATTTATGAGTCACTATCATGGGTTGAGGACTTACATTTACACATTTCAAAGATGTATTTGTCATTTTGTTAAACAGCCAAATATATGAAAAAGGCACACACATATTTGACAAATAAAATGTTCACAGGAACTCATGAATATATTCTATTTTAATCCACATGATACAGTCTTTGAAAAGGTCAGATCTGTCTGAAATCAATGGTGCATTTGGAATGAAGAGCTCTTACTAAGAGGCACAGTTTTCCTAAAACTGGCTAGCTACGCTGAGTGACTTCATGTTGAGGATAAAATGCCCAACACTTTGGAAACTGTCTTTTTTATTGAGACCCTTTCTGGCTGTGGTATGAGGTATAAACACCACAAAAATGAATCAGTAAATATATAAGCAGATAAAGAAATAAAATGTTTAGGAAATGAAGGGACAGTTCAAATGAATAAGGCTTGATGATGAAAGATGATGTATTTCAACAATTAAACATTAATTGGATTAACGCTTTCCAAAAGAGCATGGGAGTCAGGGTGGGGCCTGAGTTGACTTTGTAAATATATCACTTGAGTACATTTCAATGCTGGAACGCTATTTAACTTACAAACAGGAGGTTAATTTTCAGTTCTTCTCTTTCCTGCTATCTGTTTCATTGCCAGGTTCATAGAAATTTATTTATTTATGAGACTTATATACCGCTTTAAGTGCAAGCACTCTCTAAGCAGTGTACACCAGTAAGCAATGTATATATATTTTACATTGCCCCCAACAATCTGGGTCCTCATTTTACCTACCTCGGAAGGATGGAAGGCTGAGTCAACCTTGAGCTGGTGAGATTTGAACCGCTGACCTGCTGAACACAGTCAGCTAAAGTGGCCTGCAGTACTGCACTCTAACTGCTGCGCCACCTCAGCATTTTCTGAGTTTTTGTATTACCAAAAACTCAGAAAATGCTTGCAGGGATGACTAATCCAACAATGGGAACTGCACTAAATGATTAGAAAGCACAACATAATACACAAGAACAGAATGGGCATAGCACTCATACAATCTTCTCTTTTATTCTACAAGCACATTGTGATTAAGAGTTCCCACAGCTTCTTTTCAACTAGTTTTACTAGTTTTTTTTCCTGACTACTGATATATGTTTCATGAGATCAGTATGGAATAATGTTAACATCATAAAATTATTCTTTACTGATCTTACGTTATTTGGGAAACTGAGCAGTTCATATGCATGCTCAAGAAAATTCTACAGTTAGCCATGGCTACAGAATTTGGATCAAGAGTTTCTCCAACTTTACAGAGCTACACCATATACATATCTATTGTGTGCTTTTGGATCAACCTTTGAAAACAAAGATCATTGGGATCAAAGGCACTTAGTTGCAGGATTACAAACTCCCACCACTAGGATGGGTATATCCATATTTCCCCTAATTTAATTGAAGAAATCTAAAGATACCTTTTTAGGAAAAACCAGAAGACATTCCCATGAGAATTACAAAATCCAGTCTTCCCAGGACCCTTACTGTCACTTCTAAGGCCAAATTGCTTACTCACTGCTAAGGTTCAGATTGTATGAGTGCTATGCCCATTCTGTTCTTGTATATTATGTTGTGCTTTCTAATCATTTAGTGCAGTTCCCATTGTTGGATTAGCCATCCCTGCAAACATTTTCTGAGTTTTGGGTAATACATTTCTATGAACCTGGCAATGAAACAGATAGCAGGAAAGAGAAGAACTGAAAATTAACCTCCTGTTTGTATGTTAAATAGCAATCCAGCATTGAAATGTACTCAAGTGATATATTTACAAAGTCAACTCAGGCCCCACCCTGACTCCCATGCTCTTTTGGAAAGCGTTAATCCAATTAATGTTCAATTGTTGGAATACATCATCTTTCATCATCAAACCTTATACATTTGAAATGTCCCCTCATTTCCTAAACATTTTATTTCTTTATCTGCTTGTGTATTTACTGATTCATTTTTATGGTATTTATACCTCATACCACAGCTGGCTCAGGAATTCTGGGAGTTGAAGTCTACGAGTCATAAAAGAGCCAAGGTTGTCTACCCCTGTCCTATACCATTCTGAATTTTCTTTGGGCTTGATGGGATGGATACATGGTCATAGAAAGAATAACAAAGTAACAGAACAGAATAATAGAGTTGGAAGGGATGCCAGTAGTCCTCCAGTCCAATCCTCACCCAAACAGGAGACACCATACCATTTCAGACAAATGGCTGTCCAATCTCTTCTTAAGAATCTCCAGTGATGGAGCACCCACAATTTCTGCAGGCAATTCATCCCACTGGTTAATTATTCTAACTGTGAGGAAATTTCTCCTTAGTTCTAGGTTGGTTTTCTCCTTGATTAGTTTCCATCCATTGCTTCTTGTCTTGTCTTCATGTGCCTTGGAGAATAGTTATTTTGTTTCCATTTCTGTGTAATTATTCTTACTAAAAGTATTAGATTGGTTTTCATTTCAAAACTATTTTGATACGTGAAAGATCTAGGAGTTCACAAGAAAATATTCAAGGGAAAAAAAAATCCCCAAAGCTATGAAGTCCTGGAGAATATTCATCTAAATTTTAGACAATCAAGTAAAAACTCCAGTGGCAGCAGTAGTGTCTAGCAGAATTTATAAAAATAGCATGTTCTTTCACTAGCTTTTTAAAAAAAAATCTGAGCTGAATGCTGTAACAGAACACTTTTACCTAAAGATATTACAGCTCTTTTATTTTCTTTTTTCTTTTCTTTTCTTTTCTTTTCTTTTCTTTCAATGCCATCAGAAACACTAACCAGCTTAACATATAGCAACATTTAAGAAACAAAGAAACAATAATCTACTTTTCATGCTGATCACTTTTATGTATAGATGTGAATTAAATGATTTTTGTTAATACTGAAATATGTACTAGGTTGATATTTGTGAAATTCTTTATGCATTTTGACAAAATGACAGCATTACTGGTAGACTATTTACAACTTCCTAAGTACTGCATTTGATTAAAATAATTTAATTTGAAATTTATCCTTTACTAAAACATGCATTTCACTTTTAAGTATGCACTTAAATTTAATTTCTGAAGGTTTACAGGAGGTTATGGTTTAGTTCAGCACCCTTAAGTGATAAATCGTGCTTCATAAAATTGTTTGTTCTTCTATTCATAAGCAAGAAAACATTCCCTGAAGAAATACATTAAGAATTCTGCTCCATGAGAATGAAAACTATAATGTTCTAAAACCCATTAGGATGATGCTGAGTTTTGTGCTGAAGAAAAAAACCCCAGCAAATACATCCTGCAATCTGAGGTTTACCACTGAAGTTAACTATTCAGTAATAGCTATTCTCTAAAGCCCTTTTACCCCTGGAGATAGTGGAGGGGATGAGAGTTCTACAAGGAAATAGACACTTGCCATGCACTCCATTATTTTTTGAATCATTTAAGTTGCTTCAGTGATTTCACATTCTGGCAGTGTCTTTACATACAGAGTTATTCACTCCAATAAGACTGACTTCCAGTAAAATAATACAAAATCATATAAAAATGATTTTGTATTAAATTCTGGAAGGTTTGAGAAAGGGGAAAAAAAGTGAGTCTCTTCAATATTTGTTAACAGAAGGAGACCATAAAAAGACCGTAAAAATATTTCTATGTCACATCTGCTAATAAAACTTGAAAAGCTATGGTACTGGTATATTCATTATTGCACTTTCTCCCCATTCACCCAAAAGTATTTTCAACAAAATAGTCCCTCCCTCCCAGCAATCTACCAACAGTTAACCTTTCCTATGACTTCATTTCCTTGTCTAGAAAGCACTGCTTATTGATATCTATCTGCCATGACATAGCTGTGGCCTATTTGTTTATATGGGAAAGCTTCTGCATAACTGCAGTAGGTTAAAAGTCTATTTTTATTATTAACTGAAAATAACCAGTCCCTGTATACATAAAGGAAACATCCCTGTTTGCACCTAGGAATCAAACTGAAGGAAACCGACAGATTCTATGCTAATGGTATATAAATTCCAAAGGTGGCACTTATTTGGGATTAGCTAATTTTTGAACAAGAGATGGCTAGACTTAAGTTGTATTGTATATTTATATGTATCTACAGAGAAAGGAAGTGCAGTCTGTCCTTCCACGTGCATCATAGCAATATGAATAGCAATAGCACTTAGACTTATGTATCACTTCACAGTGCTTTACTGCCCTACTCTACCATTCTGACGTATTTCAGTGCCTCTTCTTGGGTTTGATTTTGCCCCTATGCTTAATATTATTTTCTTTTCTTGTGTTGATGCTGTTCATATTCTTCATCTTCATTCCAGTGGAAAACAGTATATTATTATAGTGAAAATAAATAGCAATAGTAATTAGCAATTAGCAATAGCACTTTGACTTATATACTGCTTCACAGTGCTTTACAGCCCTCTTTAAGTGATTTTTAAAGAGTCAGCATATTGCCCCCAACAATCTGGGTCCTCGTTTTACCGACCTCAGAAGGATGGAAGGCTGAGTCAACCTTGAGCAGGTGAGACTCGAACTGCTAGCAGTCAGCAATCAGCAGAATTAGTCTGCAATACTCCATTCCAACCACTGCGACATCACATGTCTTAATGTTCTCAGGAAATGTCAGATGATACTCTTGCCTGGATTCTCAAGTAATTATTTTGATAATTATGATACAGTAGTGGGCTAAACACTACTAAAAATGAATTGTTCAATGCTCAACAAATATAAACATAGGATATCCTTCCCCAGCCTCTTCAATTGATCTTTAATATTTAGGCATATCAAGTTTTAGTACGCTATACACATCTCTTATTTTACTTTCTGAAGATGGCATCTATATTTTCAAGAGAGAAGAGAATGTATTGCAGTACAGTTTTAGTATAAATAATATCCAACATAAACAACCTTACTTGTTTAAGTTTCTTTAGATCTTCATCAAGTTCCAGGTTGTCTAGAATAACAGCAACAAACAAGCTCAGCAGAATCTACAAAATTTAAAAAATGGAACTGAATACTTAATATTTTAATAAGTTAATATCCTTTTAATCAAGTAAATATGAAGAAATATATTTTAGACTATTTGGATATCTGGATATGGATTTTATGGATTGCTTATGTATATACAAATATAGTACGTACACTACATACATGTATGCATATATGTTGCTCAATAATAGTTCACCCTCCTTCAGCCCACTGCTCCAGCTAAAAACTTAATGAAAAGCTGTTCCAAGATTTGATCAAAGAATTGTGCCTTGGGTGCAAAATACAGCGCAGTTTAGGCAGATTGTTTTCCATTTCTACAGCTGAGAATGACAGGCATAGAAGGAAGATTTTTACTGAATGTCAAAAACAAATCTAGAGCATTATCACAAAAGAACAGTTAAACCTCAGCTTATTATTTAACTTCACCATCCCCTTTTGAGTTTTAATAATAGACTTCATTCCTAACACAGTTTTTGCTTTTCAAATGTAACTTCTATCTTAGCCTCTGCTGTGAAAACTATTCATTTCTCTCAGCTCTCTACAGAATCTGTTTTCAAGTGCATACAATTAGCACTTTTGAACTTTACCCGCCTTCTCATTCAGAGTTCTGAAAGTTATCATTTGTTGCAATGTTTTCCTGCTGCTTTATTGCTTGTGTCCCTGTCACAATTTCCTAGAGCTTTTTTTTGTCATGGTTACTGAAGTTTTACAGAACTGATAAATGCTGTAATCATGACAGGGCATTCTCAGGTTCTAGAGCTTTTGTTAAAATGATAATAGTATTGTCGGGCCATCTTGATGCAAATTCTGCCCCTTTCATATTACCTGTGATGTCATGATGTCCATGCAAATGGGTTGGAACTTGCATAAGGTAGTTTTCAGCATTTGTCCCCTCTCCTCCCCTGACCAACAACCTCTAAATAGTGATATTATTAAGGTATGCATACATACATGTATATGCACAGACATTAATGTATGAATATGAACATCCTGGGATAACATATATGTTGGAAAGGGATGCAGGAAAATCTGTACTCCTTAGAAGGGGATAGAAGGAATATAAGTTCTAGAAAGTTCTAGAAAACTCAAATTCTGTCTAGATAACTATACTTTAGGTCAAAAAAGGGAATAATCCTTCCCTTAATGAACTAAATGAACTTGGTAGAGGAAGCTGTTGTTGCAATCGCCAGACTTGCATTAGATCAGTGGTTCTTAACCTGTGGGTCGGGACCCCATTTGGGGTCGAACGACCATTTCACGGGGGTCGCCAAACAATGCAGTCCGCCATTTTTTCCCCCTTTTCCTTAGCTGTGCTACTCCCTTTTATTCTATTGGCTTTTGAAAGCCAATAGAATAGACTCTCTTGAATAGAGTCTAATTCTATTGGCTTTCAAAAGCCAATAGGAATTGTCCAGGCTGTCTCTGCCCTGCTGAGCCCGCCAAAAGTCCCATTCTGCAAACGGTGCTGCACCAGTTGAGTAGTCCTCGATTTATGACTGGTTGAGTAGTCCTCGACTTACGACCGGTTGGGGGTTGCAGCATTAAAAAGATTGAGAACCACTGCACTAGATAATACCATCAATCCTTATGTTTCTTCAGTTTAATGAGATTTTTTTTCACATATGTTCCACTGGATTGGAGACTTCCTTTCTTATAAAAAAGCACCTATTCTACATACCAGAAGTGTAAAGCAATGAACATTGGCTAAAATTGCATCCCTTCAATGTGTTCTGCAATATAGAGGTCATTTGGCTTCAGCAAACTGCTCCAAAATATGTTGGGAACAGAACATCATAGTTTTTATTTATATCTATATATCCATATCTCTTTATTTATGTATATATTTATATATTTACATCTATATATATTTATCAAAGTAATTGTTGGTTTGCTCTTATGTTAGTATAGCATAGCATGACATTTTTCATGTGCTAATTTGGACATCATAAAATACAAAAACACTAACCCCTAATTATCAGCTGTTGCCCCAAGTCATTTATTAGCTTTCTATTTAATTACCGCTATGGGAAGACTGCAATGCAATGAAATTATAGAAAATCTTTGCATAATAAATGCATGTTCTGCAACCTAAATGTTGGAGATGTGGTTGCTTGGATGCAACCTATTTCCATGTTTGGTGGACTTGTAAAAATATTAAAGTCTTTTGGATTATGATTTGGTGGAACATTCAAAAGGTTTTTAAAAGAAAGATTAAGTTTACTCCCCAGTTATTTCTTTTGGGTATTTTTGTGGATTTTGATGCTAAAGAAACTATTTTAATGTTGAATTTAATAACAGCAGCAAGATTATTGGTGGGTCAATATTGGAAGAAAGACTCTCTGCCTTTTTTAGAAGAATGGGTATTTAAGGTTTCTAATTTAGCAGAAATGGCTAAAATTTCTGCTTATTTAAAGGACCATTCACAAGAGAGATATGTTATTGTATGGACAAGATGGATAGAATATGTTCAGAAGAAATATGGAACTACAAAGTTTCATTTATTTTATGAGTAATGGATTTGTTTATAAAATTATGTTAAAGTTTGAAGAGAGTTAAGGGTTAGTATGATTTTGGTTATTGTATAATTAGTAAACTTAAATAGATTATGTTTAATATGTTTGTATAACCCTGTACTTGGCTCTGGGAAGTCGGGGAGGGGGTAGGGGGTAGGGGGAGGGGGGTGGGGGGAGGATGGGTTGGAGGTTAAATAGCTCAGATAAGTAGAAATAGTTTTATTGTATTTAATATTTATGTTTTAATTTCGAGAGAGGAATTGCTCGGGCATTTCCCTTGGACTCCATCCGGAGTGAGAAGACAGGAGGAAGGGGAGAAGTAAGTAGGAAGGTTGAGGAGAAGGAGGAGAGGGGGAGAGTGAGGAAGAAGAGGGAAAGAGGGAAGTGAGAGAAGAGGTTAGAGGGTGGATGCGGGTTGGGGGAAATGGGTGAGCAATACCGAAAGTTGTGTGTATAAATTTATTTTACTCTTTATCTGAAGTATTTTTTATGAATGTAATGTAAAATTGAAAATAATTTTTTTACAATAAATAAATAAATAAATGCATGTTCTTGCTTCATTATGATCCCTGTTTTGTTGTTATCCAGAATATTAATAATTACTCTATTAGATTAAAGAGGAAGCATGGTCTTGTTTAAAAACACCTTGAATTTTTTGTAAATACAGATCACCACATGTTACAGGTCTAAACTCCAGATTCTTTCCAAGAATTAACATAGTTGTCTTTATTGACAAGTGAAAATCCAAGAGCTCAAAAGGTAAGTTGGCTCTGCCAAACAATTCTGTACATATTTCCCTAAATGAGTATCCATTCCTGGGACCTAAGTAGCAATCTTTATTCGAAGCACCAGCAATAGCAATAGCAATATCACTTAGATTTATATACTGCTTCATAGTGCTTTACAGCCCTCTCTAAGTGGTTTATAGTGCCAGCATATTGCCTCCAACAATCTGGGTCCTCATTTTACCAATCTTAGATGGATGGAAGATTGAGTCAACCTTGAGCCAGTGAAGATCGAACTGCTAACAGTTGGTAGAATTAGCCTGCAATACTGCATTCTAACCACTATGCCACCATAGCTAAAACAATCCTATTTAATGCTATTAAAATGCAAAACATTCATATAATAAAATTAAAAGTGATGCCCAAACTCTAACTCAACAGCTGAGTATCTCTAAGCAGGGCATGTGACAATTCAAGGCAATGAAGAAGGCTTCTGCCAATGCCCAAAAATTGTAGGAAGGCAACACTAGGTAAAGGTAGAAGTTATCTTAGGAAATACTAACTCCTAATCTGCGATTGGTATAATAGATAAAAGCAACTATCAATCAAAAGAAAGTTCCTCCTGTTCCTGACAGCTCTCTCCCTAACAATTTTATCTTCTGTGAAAGTAAACTTAAAATGCCCAGAAGCAATTGAATGGCAGAACTGATCAATAGAGAAACAGAGAAAAGAGCTATTCTTCCTTTGTACTGTTTCTGCCCTGCATCTACTTTGCATGTAATATAAAGTGATAAAACATATATTTGGTATCCTTGGAGGTCTACTGACAATATTACATTAGATGACCTGGTTTTGCACTCATGAGTCAGCATGAAAAATGTTTCAAAAATTTATATATGCATATGGTGCATGCAACTTACCAGGGTAGCAAAAAGATGATATAAAATGAAATAAATAGCAACAACAGGTGCCCACATGTGACCCACAGCATTGAGAGTCTGATCCATGACGTCCACCCATCCTTCCTGTGTCAGGATTTGAAACATTGACATGAAAGCCTATATCAAAACATAAACAAACAAGCCAGTTAGATATCCTTTACTGAAATAAGCAAACAAGCATCATAATAGTACCAGACTTGGGATTGTAGGGACAATCTGGTTAATGACAAGTAGTTGATTGATGGTACACTGCTCTGATGGTATTATTGGTAGAAACTGCATGCTTCTGTTTATTAGCAGGAGTTTCTAACCCCTCCAAAAAACCCCACATCATATCATTAGCATGTATTTTAATCCGAAACATGTCACAGCAATAAACCTTTGTAAAAACCAAGGAGCACCACTGAATTTTAGAAGTACAGTTGTAAAACCACAATTTAGTACCATTCTTAAAGGTATCTATGGCTAGCAGACTATATTTCATCAGTGTTTTTCCTCAGATAGAGAAAAACGTTCTCCAGTTTCTATTCTCAGATTTATAGCTTCTAGTATGCCACAGATATTCAGATGATCATAAAAGCCTTCATTCAGATGTTAAACACTAAGTCTGAACTCAACGCTGTATGTGCATTTGAATGCAGATCATAATGTGATTCACAGTGAAACCAACATACAGTAGTCTAAATTCTTCCACAGATCTGAATACCTCACATAGTAAGACATAGAAAAAAAGAAGACTAATATCATTTACATTATTTCTTGGTAGTAACTATCTGGTTCTGGTATTAAATGGAACAGCAGCTATTTTTGAACTTTTTAAAAAAGTATCATCTTTTTGTCTAAGAAAATCAAAATCACCATTTATAATATGATTCATTCTAACAGTGTTCCAGGATGTTTCCTGTAAGTGACAACCTCTGCATTGGAAAAACATTGGTTTTAAGATAATATGGCTGTATACAGTGATTTTAACTTTGGAAAGTAGCAATCTTTCTTTCAGAGCAAGATATTTTTAGTTGAAAGATATACTTCCCACCAGTTATGCTAAAAGGAATCAGAAATGTAGCTATCTTGCTGTCAGAACAACCAACAGCTGTGAAAATGAGACCTGCAGATTTATGCAAATAGAGGGTTTTTTTAATTAAATTGTGTGTGTACAGTATATATGTGTGAAGAACCCTTCAGATTTATTCTAATTGTTTTTAAGTTTAGTTAATGCTACTCATCATGGCTGTTCAACAGCAACTTTTTTACTTTTAGCTGCAATGTATAATTTGTCAAATATTAAGTATCAATAGCTAAGAAAAAGAATATTTTTCTCCCTTAATCAATGCACCATCTCTAATATCAAATCATGGAAAAGTTAGAACTTATTTTATGTCCTGGTATCATCAGACTTCTTTCCTCAGTCTTTGGATCACTGTCTGAACAATGGGGTCAAAAAAGTCAAGATAGAGGTCACAGATATGTTATCAAATAAGTTGTTTGTGGTAATGCACAGATAAAATGGCCGGGGCTTTGATTATATGGTTGTGACTGCCATCTTGACTTTTTGACATCCATATTTGATCACAACTAATAGATTCAGAAAATATTAATATAAAGGAAATAAATGAAGGAGAGAACAAAATATACATTCCCATCATATTAAACATTATCTAGTCAGTCTCATTTTTTGAATCTAAAGTACTATCAGAAGTTTTAGTCTTGGATTCTGCATTTTTATAACATTTTATAATTTTCATAAATTCCTGAAGAATGGATATTTGCCTATCCTGAGACAAGATTCTTGATTTCTGTGGTCTATTTTTATATTTGGTATATATTTATTTCATATTTTAACCACTTCATGTGTTGTTTAAAGCAAGGATATTAAAAATGGGTCTTTTAAAATATATTATTTCCATTTTCTTAAAAAAATGCCTCTGGAAGAAATCAGAAAAAAAATCTCATTTTTTTTTAGTTTTCTTTCTTTTTTTTAGGGGAGGCTCACATCTTTGAGTGTGATATTAATCAAAATATTAATTTATATTTCCTGAAATAAGTGTGCCCCATAAAATTTTCTTCTTCAACAAAAGCACAATGCACAAAAATACTAAGTTTCTAGAACAGTTTAAAAATGCAAGGCATGTTCACATTTTTAGTTCAACCATAATTTCAACAATTAAACATCAAGCAAAAGGGAAAAGAAGAAATAGTACCCATTACAAAATTGGATTTTAAAAGCCCCCATTTACCTGAAAACAAAATATGAGACCTTGCAATCTGAGAAAAATGGGCTAGAGAATGCTGTAGATGGTAGCCATGGCAACTATAAGCTTCTATTTATGTCCTGTTTGTCAAGAAACCACGTGAAAGCATGGAATTTAGAGGCATTAGGAAATAAAAGTGGTCTGCCTTTTCTCTCTTTTTCTCTTAAAAACATATAATGTTTCTACAGGGCTTGTACTTCAGTAACATTAATGGAAGTGATAATCAATTGTTCTCTTTCAGCTAAGTCTTTTGGCATCTAGAGCAAGATTGCATGTCAGAACATGCTGACCATTTTAAGTTTGCCTGTACTTAGAAGGGAATGAGACTGTGCTTTCTGTGCCCAGCTAAAATGTCTGTCTTCCTCTTCCCTTTCACCAAGGAACCCAAAACATTTGTCCATAATGAGTGTATCGATATGCAAAAGTCTTCTGCTGCCACTGGTCTGATATGTGAAGACCTACAGGAACTTTCATTATTTGATTCAATATGGCTACCCATTCCAGAAGATTCTAGGTGGCAATTTTCTATAACTGTAGACTCATGTTTCTTAACCTGAGCAACTTTAAGATGTGTGGACTTCGACTCACTGAATTCCCCAGCCAGCCAAATTCTCCATGCCGGCTGGGAAATTCTGGGAGTTGAAGTCCATACATCTTAAAGTTGCCCAGGTTGAGAAATACTGCTATAATCTATTAAACAAGAAGGATGTTACTCTGAGCCAGGCCCAGAACTGAACTCAGAGAAAAATCTGGAAAACCATTTTCAATGTGAACCTGAGTTCTATTTTCTTACATTTATGGAACAAAAATCAGCAGCATTCTTCTACTTCATTCACCTAGAATCTAGCTCTATACTTCTTTTAAAATACATACATTTCTCTGTTATAGTGACTTTAAGTCGACAAAGTAGAAAAACAAAAAAGAGGTGTTTTTTTTTTTAAAAAAAAGCAATTAAAATAAATGGCGTATTAAGAACTAATCATAAAAGAATTCCCAGCAGCTTGTTGGAAAGGTAGGGAGTGGCAGAAGACATTGTGATACAGTATTGACATTAGAATAAAGCGATAGCCCCGAGGATATTAACAAAACACCACCATTTTAAAGAAATGGTGGGATATATTATTTCTGAATTATTTTGTATTTTGTTTTAATATCCTGCTGGTAAAAAAAAATCTAAAGTTTTGCCACACCTCATTGTTAGTATGTTAATTTTCTATTCATTAGGCGTTTTAAATATAATCCTTCTTACTGTGCAAAATGGAAAGATGTGAATGAGATTTTAAAAACATACAACAAAAACCATGCTACAGCACAACATTTACTAATCTTCTGCTGAAATAGAAGTAAGGAAAGAAATTCCCACATGACAAATTTCCAAGCTAAAAGAGACATAAAGTAAGTAGGTGATTCTAATCAGGAGTTTGTGACAGGCAATGCTAGCCTCAAAAGCCTCAAATGTTAACTATTTTTCCTTTGACATATGTAATGTATGACAGGTCAATTGGATTGCAAATAGATGTACGAGCTTATAAATTCTGGACTTGCTTTGCAAGGGGAGAAGCTATTATTGTTACAATAGATTTTTCAGTGCTCAGCTAGGGGAGATAATATATGTTTTTGATTTTTTAATTCACATTTTTTCAATGTTTTTGTTTAGTTTTGTTCTGTTTCTGTTCAATTCTTTTCTTTTGGATTTTGGTTTTTAATCTTTTGAATAAAATAAAATAGTTTTAAAAAAATCTCAAATGTGATTTAAAAGTCTAAAGAATTTCCCAATGACAAAATTGTATTCACAAGGTTTATATCTTTAGGGGGAAAAAATCTGTATTTTTAGTTAATTATTTTTAAATTTTAATTTGGAAGTAAGACCTTTCTTTCTATCTATATTTACCTAGTAATTTCACATGTACATTGATTTGTGTTTAATAAGCTGGAGAATTTGTTGAAAACTGTACTTTTCAGTCTAGAAATGATCATTTTCCTAGAGCAACAAAAGAGCAAACTTGCATCTTCAGGTTCAATTATAGTTTTTAAATTGGAAAATAAACTTTCCTTTATTCAGAATTATAGGAATGATATATTTTGCTTATCTTTCTGCTCTAACTAAAAATAGATACTATCAATTCTTACATATAACTATCATATCCTTTTATTTATTCCAATTTAATTGACCTAATCAACAGCGTTGAAATAAGAAACAGCAATAATAGGAAGTTAAACAATTGGAGAGAAGGTTCCTACATGAATAATTCAGGCAGAATGGGTACCCACAAGCATTTATTACAAGATGCTTGAACAAAAAGCAAAGGAAAGAAAAGAAAAAAGAAGGTAACAAAACCAACTATATGGCTCACCCTGCCATACATCAAAAACATTTCAGAAGCAGTAGAATACAGGTGACAGCCCCTTGTCAGCCCTCAATATACCAATCAGCCAATAGGAAGGCACCATATAAAAATGACTCACTGAATAGTGCAAAGCACATATTTCAGTAGAGATAAATTCCCTGAAGATGGACTCTTGCATGAGTCTGAAAGCTCAGAAAAGTAAATCTCTGGTCCCAGACCAAAATTGGATGCAGTATTCCAAGTGTGGCTTTACCACTTATAAAGTGGTATTAACACTTCACATAATCTTGATTCTATCCCTCTATTAATGCAGTCTAGAACTGTGTTGGCTTTTTTCGCAGCTGCAGCACACTGTTGGCTCATATTTAAGTGATCGTCCACTAGGACTTAGAGACCCCTCTCACAGTTACTACTATCTAGCAAGGTACCATCTATCCTATACTGTACCTGTGCATTTGGTTTTTCTTGCCTAAATGTAGAACCTATGGTTCTGATATGATTAAAGGCATATCCTTGGAAACACAGACTTTGATAAATTTAAGTGGTTTTACTCTGAGTAGAATTAAACATCATGGATAAATCTAATCATCTGTTAATCCTGAGTGAACTTTATGCACACAAAGCTATTTTCCTTTATATTTTAGAGTCAATAATTAAGATCTTACAAGAAATCTTTTCTTACAAACGAATCTTTAAGATACAGTTTTTATTTTGCCTTCTCAGACCTGGTGTCTTCATGCTCCCTGAGTTTTAGAGTTTGGCCAACTTTATTGTTGACCTCCAATAGGAAAACATGCATAGAAATATTGTTGTATACATCCCAAAAGCTATTAGGACTTGGCATCTGGCAATAAAAATCCTGTACATATTGCTTTGAGTGGTCCTTGGTGTTCTCTGAGCTTGCTTGTTTTCTTGCAGCCTTTTCATTATGCAAACGAGGTAACATCAGCAGCAGTGATGATGTTACCTAGTTTGGGTAATGAAACGTCTGCAAGAAAAAAAGCAAGCTCAGAGAGCACCAATGACCCCTCATGTCAACCCTGAGCTACAAATATTCTCCTTTATTAGCAATACATTGTTTTATTCAGAACTCTTTGGGGAGAGGATGTATAAAATCTAACAAATACATTCATAATTACATAGTTACATAGAGCTATTCCTATCAACTGACCAGGGCCATTTTGATGTGAAAGAAAAACAGACTAAGTAAGATAACCAAAGGTCATAGCAAAATAAATAAACTCAACATATCACACAAGAACAACAAAATATTTTTTCACAGAAGACTAGGAACTGGCATTAATAGGATTAAAGTATAAAGCTGTTTTTAAACAGCCATAATCTGATTGGTTGCAATGGAATTTTTAACTTACCCTTGGAAATGTAGTAAATCTGTCTAGTTCTTCCACAAAACAGAACATTTGCAAACTAATGGCTGACATTACAATTAATAGACTGGCAGTAAATACAACTAAACTCCCAAGCTTTTTTCCAGGTCCAAAAATCTTGTATACAAAATCTTCCAGAGCAGGAGAAATCTTTATAAGTCGAACAACTCTAAGTACCTGCCGAGAGAAAGGAAACATTTTTTTTAGCTGATGTAGCTGCAGGTTGACAAATGAAATAAATTGGTTCTTTTTCTAATAACACCCATGGCATATAGCTTGAAAAATATAGATGGAATGGTTGACTACAGTGTTAGGGATGTGCAAAACATTCAAAAGAAGTGCAAAGTACTGTATTTAAGAAACTTAAACTCTTTGCCCCTTGAAAGTTCTTCTCAGCTAATCTGAAGCTCCCCTGGCACTCTGTACATGTCTTTGCTCTGCTGTTTCACTTCGCTAGAATTCTTGGGAGTGACAGCTGGACTTTGAAACAATTTTATGACACTTCCAAAGAGTGTGGCTGTTTTAATGCTTGGGGAAGGGATACTCTGTTCACACTATTCAGCTTTCCAAATCATCTAGTTTAAATGCTTTCCTAAGTAATAAGATCTATATTGATTAAATGTATTATTTTACATAATTTCAAGTTGATGGCCAAACTTTCAATGTTTCTATATTCATAGAATTGAAATCGAAGGTGAATTATAGTTCATTTCTTTCTCTCTCATTCATAGAAACATGAAAGAAAAGAAGGAACACCAAATTAAATAACCAATAGTAACTTCCAGAAACAGACAGCAATTTATACAAAAATCTAGGTCAGAACTCTATGTTAAACTGAAATTTTTCAAGAATTATTGTTACAGAATTGCGAGAGGTTCTGCAATTCTATCTTGATTCTTACTTGAAAACTAAAGAGTTTGCAGGGTGGGACAACTTAAAGTTTTCATCTTAACTTCTTTTGAGCCTTAGTCAGCATAGCCAAAAAAGTGTAACATTCAGAGGACATCAGCTCATCTACCCCTGAATGACAGTTATACTGAAATCTCTTCTAATTCCTGTATGTATATATGTATGTATGTATGTATGTACTATATGTATGTATGTACGTCTTTTGTGACTGGGTCTCTTACATTAACATTGGCTTTAAAGGAGTAGAGGGTATGTCTACAATACGTCTGATGATATTATAAGTAGAGCAGGTGAGCCCAAACATTTACATTTTTTTTAAAAAAAGAAACAAATAAAAATATATTATATATGGGAGATTCAGGAAAGGGTTACAATAATAATGAAAAAATCCCTCTTAAACATTCCTAAATCCCAATCTTCACCCAAGGACTGAAACTCTGTTTCTCCCCATTCTGAGAAAGTGGGGTACATATGGGATAATCCGCAACCTGCAAATAACATCTCCATGTCACACTAAGTGTCATGCCTCCTAAGTTAATTGAATTTTAATCAGTCAGTCAATCAATATTTGTGTATATACTTTAATCAGAATAGATGAAACTATCCAGTTTTTCTTTAAATGTTAAAAACAAGTTGTTTCATGCTTGACTAATGTTCTGCTAAGTATTTTGTTGTGGGTGCTTCTACCAATACCTATATTACCTTAATTGACATTTAAGTATCCAATTAATCTTTCCAGAAACCAGCTTACAAGCCCATTTGTTTTCATCAAGAGAGAAACAGGACAGACATCAAACAGTATCCTTCACAAGTCCGTATTTTTATTTGAGTATGGCTTGAATTTTTTTGAGGATTAGAAGCAGGAAACTGTAATCAATTTATCCCTCTCCAACATATGATGTTTCTTATTTCACCATTAAGATTATATATGAGTGTATGAGTATGTTTGTATATCTGAAAAAAGCTACATACTTATATTTCCATCAGTAATGAGAGATGATTAGCTCCTTCAATTTATACATTATATTAAAAAAAGATTTTTGCTTTTCTATTGTGTAAATGTATGTATGAATGTACAGTATGTATACACACACATGCACAAATACCATTTTATTAGAAAGGATAATCCCAAAATTATTCAAAACATGGATGATGATCATTATGAAGGGAAACAGTTATTTTAACTACTTTATTTTGTGATTTTGGCTGCAATATAGGTAGTTCTCAACTTAGGACCACAATCAGAACCAGAAACTCTGTTGCTAAATAATGCAGTGATTATCACGCCCGATTTTACGATCTTTTTTTGCCATGGGTCATTAAGCAAATCACTGTGGTCATTAAATGGCTTCACCCACACATTTTCCTTGTCAGAAATCATCCGGGAAAGTTGCAAATGGCAACCACATGACCCCAGGACACATGATCCATTGTAAATAAATGCCAGTTGTCAAGCACCCAGATCGCAATCATGTGACCGTGGAGCCCCTGCAATGTTTGTAAGTGCGAGGTCTGTCCACAAGTCAATTTTTTTCCAGCACCATCTTAAATTTGAATGGTCACTAAACAAATGTTTGTAAGTTGAGGACTCTGTAATTATTTCTGATATATTTATATTTTCATTCCCCCTGTTCTTCTGGCATCCATAGGCTATTGAATATCCATAGGTAGGCTACTAGATAACCTATCCATTAAATTAATTTGGCTCTTCTGATCATCTTCAAAATTATCTCTTTCCAATTTTCTATAATAAAAATGCTGCTGAGAATCTTTTCTGGGACACAGTCTGTATCAGCTGGGGAAGAAGACTACAAAACCTGGATGGACCAAGCCATGCAGGCAGTGTGGAAGTATGGGATGTTTCAGAAGCTCAAAAGAAAAATAAATTTTATTTAATGATTTTGATTATTGGCTTTTAGATTAGACTGTATTTTTGCATTTTAGCTCATTGAGAGCTTAGCTATCTCAAAAGCTATGGTTGAAGTTGAAAATCTTTCAAGTGAAATTAAAAGGTGGCATGTAAATTTTAAGGTGCTTTGGATTCAATTATAAAAAAAGTGTATTGCTACAACAAATATGATAATTCAGTAAGAAATATCTATTTGACAGGTGAGCATCATGCTGAAAATGAAAATAATAAAACCATAAAATAAATTAATAAACATCAATAATAGTTAGACCCTTTTTGGAGTGACTTCAAATAATATTTTCCTCTGGTAGACTGAAGTGGAAATTAGCAGTCTACCTGAAAGTATGTAAACTGTGAATGATAGAGGACTGGATAAATGTGAAGAGTAGTTCCAATAACCAGGAGCAGTTCAAATTTATGAAGAGATGAACTGATGTATCCAGTAAATCCCAGGCACCAGATCTTTAGGAGAGCTTCCAGATCAAAAAGGAGTGTAAAGGCCACCTGTGGGAACAGAAAAGGACAAAAGGAGCCTAAGCAGAATTTCTTGGAATTACTGTTATGTCTCTAATCTTGTAGCATGAGAAATGTGCTTATAGGCATACTAACTCTCCCAAGAAAAAGACCTCGGCTTCTGATCAAATCTCTGAGATGAAGAAAAAGAAATATTTGCAGTCCCAAAGACTGTGTTTTGCATTGCAGCAAGGGGTAAAGGTTGAGTAGTTGCAAGAATGTGTTTTCTTTATTCCTGAAAACATTTAGGTCTAGCTGTCAGTTGCAGAGCAGAAGAAAAATATCTGCTCCCCAGTTACCAATATCTTTCTTAAAACAAGACATATTGTAAGGGAAATTCCTTCTGCCTATTGGCAAAGTGATTTCTTTGTCCTCCATGCTTTCCCTTTTTGAAAGTTGCTTGAGAGATTTTTGTCAAAAGCAAGATAAACAACGAATATAGAGCAAATACATATATAGCTAGTGCAAAACATGTTCTTGAATTAAATATTAATATCTAAACAGTATAAGCCAATTTTAACCCCCCCACACTCTTAAATACATACAGTGTGGTGTATCCATATATGTGGCACTTGATATAAATATTAGACTTTAATATTGGAGAAGATTCCTAAGAATACCATGGATAGCCAAGAAAAGTAATTGACAGAATATCCAACAAATCAATCCAAAGTTCCCCTATCAAGACACAAATGAACAAGCTTATCCTATTTTAGATACACTTTGCAAAAATCAGGAGAAACCTCTAATGTTGGAAAGAAGGAAAGAGAAGAAAAGGAGAACCAGCAGCAAAGTGGATAGACTCAGTTTCACTGGTGATGAATACATTGTTGAGAAATTTGAAAGGTTAGGGATAGATCATCATGGAAAACATCTATTTATGTGGTTATTAGGAGTAAAAAATAACTTGATGGCAAATAATCAAATCAATATCAATTAAAAAGCTTTATGGCTGCATATAAAGTCAAAAGGTGTAACTTGAAACAACCATCCTGGTCCCATCTTGTCCACCATCATTTAAATCATATTAAATCAGTCTTATCTTGGTCAAGGCATCTGTAATAATGTTGGTTTGTTTCATAGAACATAGAATAATAGAGTTGGAAGAGAGCTCAGAGCTCTTTTAGTCCAACCCTTTGCTTGAGCAGGAGACTGTATCATTTCAGACAAATGATTGTTCAGTCTCTTTTTGAAAGCTTTCAGTGATGGAGCTCCCCCAACCTCTGAAGACAAATTATTCCATTGCTTAATTGCTCTCAACGTTAGGAAATTTATCCTTAGTGAAGGTTGCTTCTCTCCTTGGTTGGTTTTTTTTCTTGTCTATTGGTGCTTTGGAGAATAAGTTGACCCCCTCTTCTTTGTAGGAGCCTCTCAAATATTGGAACAGGGCTCTCATGTCACCCCTAGTCCACTTTTCTTTAGATTAGACATGTCCAATTCCTGTAATTGTTCTTTGTTCGTTTTAGCCTCCAGCCCCCTGATCATTTTTGTTGCTCTTCACTATTTCTTCCATGGGAGGCTATGAGTGATTGTTCAATTTCAGAGAGGTTTTATTGGGGTGGGCTACGTAGATAGTAGAGGCTTTGCTCTTGGTTGTTGTTTTCTTCTAAAAGTTTCCATTGTTCTTCTTTAGGTTGATATATAGGGTCAGGTTGATTATACCCTATTGTGTTCAATTTGGGTGTGTTGGTTTTCTTCCATATTTGGGGTCATTTTTTAGAAACTGTTTGCTCCCTATGGTGTATAATTTTGGGGTAGTCTTCTTGCTTGGGTTGGGGTTTCTCACTTCATTCATTCACTATTCCATTATGAGAAGATTTAACAATTATTGAATTAAACATACAATTTATTCTTAGATTATGTATATCAGTTTATTAGCATTTTACTGTATATTCTTAGAGGATTTTTTTAAAAGTGTCAAATGTTTTGCAAACCATTTGGTTAAAAATACTTGATTTTTTTGGTTTAAAAACGATTTTTCCTCCCAAACAAGTATTATGGTGATTCAGGCTTTAGTCATTTCCCATTTGGATTACTATAATGTATTCTACATGGGGTTTCTCTTCAAGAACACTCAGAAAATGCAGCAGCATCTCACATGATGACTATATACCACCACTACTTTGCGAGCTGTGCTAGTTTCCAACAGGCTTGTTGGTCTATTTCAAAGTGCTGATGATCACTGATAAAATCCTTCCTGGCATAAGGCCAGGCTACCCGTGGGACCACTTCTCCCATTGTTTTGGCTTATTCCACTAGACCTAGTACAATACCATATTTTAGGACTCCACAGTTGTTCCTTCTCAGTGGCAGCACCTGCCCTATAGAAGAATAATCTCCCAGAGATTTGGATGGCTCCAATTTTGAGCTTTTCTCAAGACACTGAAGACTTGCCTGTCTTTGGATCAGGTGGGCAGATGGACTCTGCTGTTGTTAATGTGGTTTTTTCCCCCATGAGTGGGGTTATTGTTTATCCAGGTACTGAGTGTTATATGTTGTGGGTTTCTATATTTTTAATCCTTGTAAGCCACCTAAAATCATTTCCTTTGAGTTAGACAGCTATAGAGATTTTGTTAAATAAATAAACTCTGAATGTAGTACAAGAGCTTTTTGCTATTTCTCAGTAATCGTGAAAGGTAGTAAGGCTTTGACATTGTACTAATCAATGTACTAGCTCAGCATCTATTCTGTCATCCTGTACAAAACATTTACATTTGGTGGATAACTCTAACAGTCAAAGAATCTAGGACACTGGAACCCAAACTTTTTCAGGCCAATAGACAAATCTGATTTTTTTTTTACACATTGTACAAGTTATCTCACAAAACAGTTCCATTTGGGCAGTTACAAAACATCAATTTACAAAAAGGTCTAGAAATGAAATTGCTTTCTCCTGCCTTCTCTCTTCCCAGGATGCTCTTTTTCAATTTATGTCTGCACAGTTTGACTGGCATGTTTGCCTGATTAATTATACAGCTAATATTAATCTTAATCTATAATGTGATCTTATGGACTGGTCATTAACTGTAATAAAGAATAATAGTGATAAATTTTTGATAAAAATATGAAGAAATCAGTAAGAAAGGAAGACTCACCTCTGCAAGGTAGAACTCATCATATTGGCTCTTGAAAGTTTCTCCCTTATAATAATTACTAGCAGCAACAATGACATCCACTGCTACCATGCTCAGGATAAACATATGGAAAATTGAGGATCTCATCATTCTCTGCAGAGAGTTAAAATACAGGTGTGCTGAGAAATGTTTATGATAGAACCTCTGACTGAAATTGTCAAGGCCTTCAAATAACTTCTTTAACAACATTAATAATAAGATGAAGGCAATATTTAAACGTAAATGCCAGAGATTTGTATGAAAAAAAGTTCTTTAGCATAATAAAACTGAGTCCAATATTAACTGCACTAATTTCCAGTATTTATTTTAGCTTTGCTAATCACCTGGAGAAAAAATGTTGCAATCATTGGCATACTTACAGTAAATAAATTGTTAATGCAATCAGTGTGGACTTATGCAGCTTCTTTATATTAGGAGAAATCATGTATTGAAAGCAGGGTGGGATTGTTTCCTGCCTAAAGGATATCGGACAGCTGATTAAATATGTTGTATCCCTAAAAGTAAACTTCAAATTATAAAAAGCTATGCTTAATCATTGGAATGCTTTTGGAAATAAATAAAGGCATATGCCGGGTGATCAGATTAAAAATTCACAGAAAGGAGGACATTTAAGCAGAAAGTGCAGGTAAAGCAACACATCAATGTGTGGAAACCATGACCTCAATTTTAAGCACAGCTAGAAAGAATGAGAGTATTGGATCTAAAGAGTGAGAGTATTGGATCTAAACTATGTCCCTGAATAATTTCTCTATTAAATACAGTAAATGAGAAACAGGGATTCTGGATTAGCAGGGAAAATATATCTACTGTCTTCCGGTATCAATATTACAATATTACAAATAGAAGCTTTTAAATATATTTAGTGACAGAGTTAAAACAGTGGAATTTCTTATTTAAATCTTTATGTGATCATACATTTTTTGTATGATACGTCAATGGCACTATTATCAATACCATTGTACTGAGCAGAATTAGCAAGGGAAGTTGGCTTGCACAAGTTCTGTTGAGAAGCATGACAGCACGGGCTGCATCAGAGTCTATTAATTAGAAACTCATTAATTAAATAGCAGGTTCCATTTTTTTAAATAGCAGGTTCCATTTTTTTTAAAAAAAGAAAATACTACAAAAGTATAATTAATAACAGAAATGTTGGATACAGAACAGTAAAGGAATTCATGGTTCCTAACATAATTATTTTTTGTGATTACTGTGTACATGTTTCAAAACACAATGCAAAGGGAATGAGTGTAAATGCTGGTTGCATATGACTGCAAATAAGAAAATGGCAACTTGTGGAACAATCTAATTCAGTTTTGTTTGTAAGTATGGTGAAGTTCATGATTTAGCATTGTGAAAGCTGCATTAGATTTAGCACAGACTAATTTGCCTTCACTCAGTTTCTATGCATTTATTTGTAAAATAAACAAAGCACAAAGAAGCATGGATAAAGTTGTACAAGTCTGGATAAAGCTGAAAAAAGTATTAGTGAGAATCTAAAAAAATATTTTAATATAGGTAGTCCTCGACTTACAACAGTTCATTTAGTGACCATTCAAAATTACAACAGCATTGAAAAAAAATTAACTTATGACCATTTTTCACACTTACAATCCCTACGGCATCTCCATAGACACATGATCAAAATTCAGATTATTGCCAAATGACTCATATTTATGACAATTGCAGTATCCTGGGGTCACGTGATCACCTTTTGTGACTTCTGACAAGCAAAGTCAATGGGGAAACCAGATTCACTTAACAACTGTGTTATTAACTTAATAACTGCAGTGATATCCTTAACTGTAGCAAGAAAGATTGTAAAATGGGGCAAAACTCACTTAACAATTGTTTCACTTAGCAATAGAAATTTTGGGCTCAATTGTGGCCATAAGTTGAGGACTACCTGTATTTTATTAGACACTTTTTTATATTCTGATATGTTGTGTCAATTTTTTACTGTGTTATAATTGGATGCAGTGTTTGACTATTAGACATTAAGTAGATAATAAATGCTAAAGGAAGAAATAATACAAATTTTAGGAAGCATAACTTGTGTCTACATCGTTAATTCTTTCTATTATGTAATTAAATTTAATTAAATTACAAAATATATAGAATAATATATATAGAATTATCAAGTGCCATAAAAGCAATAAAAAATGGCAAAGCTTCAGGAAATGACTGTGTTACAGCTGAAATGCTGAAAGCTGATAGTCACAGTTTATGCAAGATACTGGCAAAACTAAACTCGAGATGCCTCTGTGAAGAAAAAATACCAGATGCATGGAAAAATGCTGAAGTGATTCTTATACACAAGAAAGGGGGCCAAGATGATTTAAAGCAGGGGTTCCCAACCTGTGAGCCATGGCCCACTACTGGGCCATGGTTGTTTGACCACCGGGCCGCGTGAAGGATGGCCAGTACACTTGCACACGCGCATGCACTCAACCCCCCACTCATGCTAGCACCACCCCAAGCATTCTGACGGTGCTAGCACCAACCTGCCCCAAGCGTCCCAGCAGCACTAGCGCCTCCCCGAGCATCCCGCTGGCACTAGCACCACCCTGCCCCTGAGCATCCCAGCGGCACTAGTGCCAGCCTGAGCATCCCACCGGCACTAGCGCTGCCCCACCCCAGAGCGTCCCACCAGTCCTAGTGCCACCCATAGCATCCTGCCAGCATTAGCGCTGCCCCATTTGCAGCACTCGTGCCCACGCAGCCCCGTTTGGAAATGCACATGTGTTCAGGTGCAGCCGTTTGCATGTGCTCATGTGCTTGTGCATGGCCTATTTGTGCACACATGCGTGGGGCTCATTTTTGCATGCGCAGGTGCATGGCCCATTTGTGCACGCGGACATAGCAGTGCCTGTCTCCCTTTCCAAGCTGCCAAACCAAAAAGGTTGGAGACCTCTGATTTAAAGAACTCTTGCCCAATAAGCCTTCTTTCAGTCATTTACAAGGGTTTCATCAAGATAATAGCAAAAAGAATATTGAGAACATTACATGATGCACAACCAAAGGAGCAGACATGGTTCAGAAGTGGTTACAGGACAATGGATTACATCCAGGTTGTTCAGCAAGTCATTGAAAGGCACAATGAATACACCATGCTTCTGTGCATGGCTTTCATTGACTATGAAAAGGCATTTGACTCAGTATTTCAGCAAGCAATAATCAGTGAATTGCTCAACCAAGGCTTACATAAAATTACTATAATCAATATATGAAAAAATGGCAACAATTTGCCTTAATGATTTTACAGTGGAAATCAATATAGAACTTGTGTACAACAAGGTGATACAATATCACCTATCCTTTTTTTCACTTGTCTTGAAGAAGTATTTCGCAGACTAGACTGGGCAAAAGATGGAATAAAAAACAATGGCACCTATTTAAATCACTTAAGATTTGCAGATGATGTTCTGTATTCACAAGAGCCAGAAGTGTTACAAAGGTACATACAAGCTGTACAAAGCAGGAGAACCATTTGACTTAAAAAATCAAGTTGAAGAAGAGCCAGGTTATTTTTAATAAATTCACCAAAGAAAGAATTTTTTTTAGACTAGAACCAGACGTAATAGACCACTACATATACCTTGGTGAATGGATCTCAATGGAAGGTGATACAAAAAAAGAAATTGAACTGCATGTTAAATGAGGTTGGGAGGCACTCAGCAAGCTAAGTGTAATTTTCAAGAACAACCTCACCCAATGCCTGAAAAGTTTTCAATCAGTGTGTGCTACCTGTTCTAACATACACTATACCAGTGAAACATGGCCACTAACCTCACAATTGATACAAAAGCTATGCGTCACAGAGCCACAGAAAGATACATGCTTGACACTGCAAGACAAGATAGGAAGACCTCCACATGGATTAGAAATCATCAAGAGAGGAAAAGAACTGAAATGGAAATGGGTTGGTCACATAGCAAGAAGAACTAATGGCAGGTAGACCAAGGCAGTCACAGAATGGGTCCCGCTTGATAAAAAGCATCCACAAAAGAGACCTAAGGCAAGATGGATCAACAACATCAGCAAGTATTGAGGGCCCAATTGGCAAAAGAAAGCCAGGACATTGGTTGGAAACACATGGAAGAGGCCTTCATCGAGCAGTGGATAGACAATGACTAGAACGATGATAGAACAATATTGTTTCAGTTCTGAAGTAATCCCTGGAATTTTCTGTCTCTTCATCTCCTTCAAAAATTTCTTTGTCAGCAATAACATGTTATAGAAGAAAATACCCAAAGGCTGTTAACCTGAATTTTCCTTCCTTATGGATTGTGCCTCTGGGATTGTAAGAGAGCAAAAGTCCACATCTGCACTACAGGGAAATAAAAGAGGAATACTGAAGGCACAGAGTGTTGGTGTTAGTGGAAGAGAGAAAGAAGTGTGTGATAGTAGGCTACAGCAGCAAGTTGAATGTGGAGGAAATAGAATGAAGAAAGAGATACAGAAACTACTACAGTTGAGAAGGGAATGGCAGAGTCTTCAAGTCTTCCAAAGACTTAGCCAACTGGCCACAAGTAATAATCTTCTCACTTCTATGAACTGAAAAGCCAAAGAAGTAACTCAGTAAAAGGGAGCGGTTATCAGGTGACTTCAGCTGCATCTACGGAAGTATAAGGGCTGGAAAGTAGAGGGTTATATAGGGCTAAGTGTAAAGTAAAAGAACATTAAGGTCTGGGTAAAAGGAATAAAGTCTCCACTCTTTAATGGTGAGAGCTAGAAAAAGAACTGTGGTCATACTGCTTATATTGTTAAAAAAGATGAGTTAAAAATACTGAGTAAAAGGGAAACTTATACAGTTGTTAAGTACTGTTACTTTTTACTTATAGCTGCAAGTGTCATTTGTTAGCCAAACCCAATGACATATCCCAGAAAGAACTGGCCATTAGCACTCTGGCAACTAAGTTTTAACTTCTATAGAGAGGTGAATAATACCAAGAGTTTGTTAAAGGAGCTGCTGTTTTTATATGTCCCGAGGAGAAGAGATTGAACAATCCTCTTCCCTATGCTTCAGAAAACAAAAAGAGGTACTGGATTAAATGATCCTGCTGGGAGCTTCTTTTGGTATCAATTGCTTATAA